TCACTCAGGAGTTTATGGTCTGAGCCTTCATTCCGGAGTAAATCATACTGGAAGCTGCTGTGGTCCGAAGGGGGGAAACACAATGATTCCATTAAGAGAGAATGGGCTGTGGCTTTCTCTCTATCCATCCCTTTCTACTTTCTAGAAATCTATGACTACTGAACATTCATCTAGAGCACCGAGGTGTGCTTGCCACAGGACAGGACACAAAGCCGCACAAGTTCCTGCCCGGATGCTTTTCCGGTTTTTGCCAAAACTAATATTGACGTACCAGCTTTCCCTTGAATCAGAGCGACTCGCGCTCCAGAGTGTTTTCTTTGACCACATACCTGTGGGCTGTAACTTACCCAGGACAGCTGCCTCAGAGCATCTCCCCCCTCTCCCTGGTCCTCAACAAGCAGGGCCATTCCACTGTGTCACTGGCCAGGGTAGAAACCGCACCATTTCACACTGCAGGGATTTAGGGGACCGAGTGCTCCTACAAACAAAGGATTATCTCCATATAGAGAACCATTTGTCAGAGAGGAAGATTCTAGGCAGTTTCTTTCTCCTTAAGTGCTACGTTTTGGTGTGTTTATGCATTCTGCAAGGGAGCAGCCCATCATCCCTTCACATGGGACCATCCCATCATCCCCTCCAGGCCCGGCAACAGCAGCCAGCAACACCATCGAGATCCTAGGAGGAAAATTGCTGTTCCTGTTGAGGACCTCTGCCAAAATGTCAGCCATCCATGTGCCGCTGGTGGGGAAACGAAAGCCAGTGACTGCCCAGCAGTGGAGCCCAAATGGCTGTGGCTGACCCCTGCATTTGCACCATCTCTAGACAGACTTATGGGTTTATCATTACATTTATATCCCACCTTTTTCCACTTGCAGGAACCCAAGGCAGCTTACACAGCCACCTTCTCCATTTTATTTTCACAGCAATCCTATCGGGTAGGCCAGGCTGAGAATCGGGGATTGGTACAAAGTCACCTAGTGAGCTTCATGACTAAGTGGGAATTAAAACAGTTCTAGTCCAACACTCTAACCATCATACTAGCTCTACTAGGTTCCATAGATACATCCTGGAAATCAGGAGTCACGGATAGTGTCATATTCAATTTGTCATCCTCCCATGCTTTCCCCTTGCTAGTTTTATCTTTTCTTTCCCCCCAGAAACTAGCATGTTATAGAAGACTGCATGATTGCTTTTGACTGGTGGTGCTAGGAATTCTCTTTCTGGAAGCACATACAGTGTATTTTCCTCAGAGTTAGCACAGGCCAGAAAAATACCTTTGGTTGTGGTGGACAACGCAGTGAAAATTTTGACTCGGTGTGTGGCACTGTGAAAGAGGCACAATCCATCTGAGGCATAATTAGGAAAGTATTTGAAAAGAAAACTGGTGATATTATACTGTTGTTATACAGCTCTATGGTGTGAACACACTTGGAATATTCTGCAGGTGTAAGGTCACCACACCTTGAAGCTGAAAAGGTACAGGAAAAGGCAATCTGAAGGATCAAAGGGCTGGAGCTGCTTTTCTGTGGGAAAAGCTGGCAACGTCTGTGATGCTATAGTAGTATTGCAATGAAGCTTCTTGGGATCTGTCCCTCTCCGGTTTCTGGACTTCCTGTCATGTGACTTAGCAAGTGAATTGAGAAGAAGTCTGAGGCTATGCCCAGAGCTCACCTGTGCAAAGGGCAGCCTTCTTCCGTGTCGTGTGTTGCACGAACAAAGGCTGCGCATCCTGTGCACAGAAGAGAGACGTGGCTTGCATGGTGTTTACATGGGACTTGATTCTTGGTGAGCTGCACATGAGCGTTTGGCCCATTTGTCAGGAGACAGGAGCAAGGGGGCTGGAGCCCAGGGAGCAAAGGCCAGAAAAACTGATTCTTCACATCCCTACTTGATTGCTTACAAAAAGGCACGTAAGGGAGACCTGATAGCGCTGTACAAAACTTTGCACAGTATGGGGAAAGATCAAAGGGAGACGTTTTCTCCATCTTTCGTAAATACTAGAACCAAGAGTCATTCAGTGAAAGGGTCTGGTGGGAGATTCAGAGCAGGTAAAAAGCACTTTATTGTACAGGGCATATGAAATCCGCCACCACATGGTGTAATGATGGCCACCAATTTACATGGGGCTTGGACAATTCGTGGAGGAGAAGGCTACACATGTCTACTGTCATGACGGCTATCTATTATTTCCAGTATCAGAGGAGGCATGGCTGTGTATGCCATTTGCTGGGGCACACCAGTGGGTTTCCCCCATGTGGCTGGCTAGCCACTGTGTGACCAGAATGGTGGGCTAGGCAAGCAATTGTTCTGATTCAACAGGGCTCTTCTTCTGTTCTTGAGTTCGCTTCCAACGCTCCTATGAGAATTACCAGAAAAGGAGTTTCCCAGGGGTGGTTGGCAGAAAGAGAAAATGGGGAAGTGGAAGGGATTCTGGAAAGAAGGTCTGTAAGAAAAACGCTATTTCTGCTGATCATACATTCCAGCGCACAAGAATAGTTCTGCTTTGATAGTATTGTGAGCGAGCCAGAAGTATTCTCCGTACCATGTGCTTGGGTATTTCCTCACAGGGAGAGTTCATGAACATGTCGGGCTTTTTGCAGCCACAGCATTTCTGCACACCTCTGCCTCCTTGCCAGCAACCCGCTTCTTGCATAATCCTCCCCTGTCATGTGTGGGTTTAATTTTTTGCATTGCTCACAGTTACACACTAATCCAGCAGAATGAGATACAATAGTAGGAATCACAATCCTTGCAAACAAAATAGAGGACACACTGGAAATGTAGGTTGGATTGGGGATGTGTTGAACTACAGACAAATCAAGGGTTCCGTGGCAGAACACAGATGTGACATGCAGAAGAAGCTAGGACCTAGGTGCTCTCTTGGGCACCTCCACTTCAAACAGGTGTGGAGAACTGATGTCCATCCAGAGGCTGATAGAATCCAGTGCTTCTCTTCCCCAGTCAGCATGATGAATGGCCAGGGATGATGGAAAGTGCTAGTACTAGCATTTAAAGCCTTAAATGACTTGGGGGCAGGTTATCTGAAGGATCGCCTCCTCCGATATGTATGTGAGGTCATCTTCGGGGGGTCCTTCTCTGGGAGCCCTTCCAAAAGAAGGGAGGCAGCAGGCTATCAGCAGGAGGGCCTTTTCAGTTGAGGCACCCCAGTTTTGGAATTTGCTCCTGAAAGATGTGCCCCTGGCACCTACTTTGTATTCTTTTGGGGACCAGATGAAGACCTTTTTAACATTTTAGCTTTTTAACTTTGGTTTTATATATTCCATTTTATTCTGTACTGCTGCTATGCTTCTGTACTGAATAATAGCAATTCCAATTATGGTTTCCTTCTTATAAATTAGTCTGTGTGTTCTTACCTTTTGTTTAATTTTGACTTTTCTGAACCATCCAGAGAGCCTTGGCTAATGGGTGGTACATAAATGAAATAAATGAAATAAATAAATAAGTGCAGCCCAGCAACATCTGGAGGTCCATGGGTTCACCAGCTCTGCATGAAAAGGATTATGGGAAGCAGATGTTAAGGAAGACCTGTGCGTATGATCTTGGAGAGCCACAGGTAGTCAGAGCAGACTGGGTGGAAAAATATCTGGAGCTTGCTAGGTGCCCCTGAGTTGGTGCTGTGTTTCTCAAACAGGAGTATTACAGGCATTTCGCTTGTGTCCACTCGCCTTCTATCTCTGGAGACTGGAAATGAGTTTGGATCTCTGCAGTGCATGCATTTTTAATTCTCTCTCTCTCTCTCTTTGTGTGTGTGTGTGTTTATACCCATTTTTCCACCGTACAAGCACAAGGCAGCGTACAGTAACGTAGTATAAGGAGAGAAGCGTGCAGGGGCAGCACACTAAGGACTCAGTTCTTTGTGTGCTTAGATGGAAAAAAAGCCCCAGAACCCTCAGCATTTATTTACTTGCTTAACGCATTTCTATCCTACTCAAAAGCTGATGCTCTCTGGGTAGTTCACAACAATTCAAACCATAAAATATGACTTAAGATATAACATAAAAGTCTTAAACATTTCCAGTATAAAATAGAAGTAAAAACTAAAATGAAAGGTAGCAGCAGTGCAAATATTTAAAATACAATAACAGCTGTAAAGCAAACTAAAGACTGAAATGCTTGGAAAAATAGCAGGGTCTTCACATCACAATGGAAAGAGTACAGGATAGGTGCCATGACAGTCTCTCTGGGAAGCTCCTTCCATAGCTGGGGTGCCACAGCAGGAAAGGGTTTTTCTTGTAAGCTGTCCTGAGATGCTTGGACAGCCTAGAAAAGCTTTCAATAGATAGATAGATAGACAGACAGACAGACAGACAGACAGATAGATAGATAGATAGATAGATATTTATGGGAGGGATCGATCTTGGGTCACCTGGCCACAAGCCATTTAGGGCTAATGTCCTTAGCAGCCCATGGACTGGCAGCCAGTACTAATGGTGAAGTCCTGGTGTGAACTTGTTAACCATTTGCCTGCCCAATTTTGGGCCAGCTGAAGCTTCCACGTTCTGTGTGCAGAGACATCAGCACTTCAAAAGGATCAGGTCCAGGGGATGGGCAAGTTCCCTGCCCAAGACCCCGAGGGGGCAGCTCCAGTGTTCTCATTTGCAACCCAGGCAGCAGAATAATTGCAACAGTGAAATCCATAAAAGGGCCTTTTATCAATCACTCAAGGTAAAATTGGACAACAAAGCAATCGTTTACTGGCACCTAAAATAAAGATACAAGGTGGACATCCGAAAGGGGTGGTCCAGTGGTAAGGTGCTCCCACAGAGAAACCCTGCTCATGTTGCCACCAGAGTAACTTCTCAGGGAGTGGATCGTTGGTGGAGCATCTCCAGCGACAAGCTGAGTGAACGAGGTTTGTGCAGGAAATTGTGTCCTTCAGCTGCCTTGTTCCCCAGGCTAACTAGAGCTTGTCTTGCACTTGGAAATGAGCAGAGAACATGAGTGAGTTTGTTCCTGGCTAGGCAAGGGTTATGCCATTGATGGTCTATGTTCTCATTGGTGATCAGGTATCTGGCCTGGACAGAATCATGCAAGGCTCGAAAGCTCTTCATTAAATAATAGGAGTTTTACAAGAGCCATGAGGCTGCCTCTGACAACAGCAGCCCTAGATCTCAGAGAATCATCGAATAGTAGAGTTGGAAGGGGCCATGAAGGCCATCGAGTCCAGCCCCCTGCTGTTGCAGGACACCATGTTACACCATCCTACTCCAATGGCTGTCCGGTTTCTTTTTGAATGTCTCTAGTGTGACATTCCTTCTCTTTTCTCAGAAATGTGTGCTAAAATAGGACATGTGGCACACTGTCTGCACGGTCAGGGGTTCCCCACCTCCACATGCTTCATCGAGCAAAGTAGAGGGGGAAACTCCAGCCTGAAAGCAATGCAGCATGCATTCCATTTTACTAGGAAAGATGTAGGAGATGAACAGTTCTGGGCTGTACAACAATAGAGTTCAGATCATGAATACTGAGGGTGTAATTTCATTCTGTGTTGCTCCAAACTCCCCTGGAGTAACTGGGTTCAGGTTTGGGTGCTGCAGTTTACGAAGGAGATCAATAAACTGGAATGTGTCCAGAGAAAGGTGACAAAAAGAGTGAAGAGTTTGGACAACCAGTCTTCTGAAAGGAGATGAAGCAGATGAGTACGTTTGTTCTGGAGAAAAGGCAATCAATGTACGATCAATAGGAAAGCATCTTCAGCAATCCAAATGGCTGTCACATCCAGAATGGAGGGGATTTATTTTCTGTTGCTTCAGACTCTTCCTGAAGTTTCTGCTGATCAGCTGTTCAGCTGGCAGGAAAGGAAAGGCAGACAAATGAAGGGAGGGGAAGAATAGCAAGGAGGGCAAAGAGGACAAGAGGTTGTGGGAAGCGATGAAATGCAGGTGGCGTGCAGGAGTAGGGGAGGAAGAACAAGGCTAGAGGCTGCGAGTGCAGAGGCGAGAAAGGTAAGTCGGGGAGGATGAGCGAGGCAGGGACTAGGAGGGGAGAGAGGGAGGGCGGATGGGGAAGGGGTAGAGATATCAAGGAAAGGGGTAGGGAGAGAGAAATAGTGAGGACAGAGATGGGTGGAGAGGGAGGGAGGGAGAGTGCAAGGCTGTCTGGGTGGCCCAAGAAGCAGGTCTTTCCATTCGCCCCTCCCTTCAGTCTCTCTCCTTGCTGCTTCTCTCCACACCACCAGCACCACCACCTTGACTGCTGTGCCTGGACCAGCCACCTGCTCCAAGAGAACCCTTTGGCGGTGGTGCCACAATAGTTTCTCAATTCCCCAAATGTGTGCTCAGGTTCAAAGAGGTCGGGTACCTCTGTTCCAGAGAGTAAGAACTTGTGGGATAGGTTCAGGTTAGAAGAGGACCTGGGCTGGAAGGCGCTGGATCCTCCTTTGTTAGAGCTTTGTGAGCAGAGGCAGCTGGACACAGGAGCTCCTGCCTTGGCTGCAGGCTGCCAGGTATCCTTGTGGCCATGGCAGCAATGGAAACAGAATAGCCCGACAGTCACTTCTTTCTTGTTTCTGCTGTGTCTGTGCTTTATTTATTTGTTGAACATACTTATTAGCCACCTTTCGAAACATTGATATTCCCAGTGTTGGCTTACAGTATAAAATGGTAACATTCAGTCTCCAATTATAAAAGCATCTTAATTTTTAAATAATTGGAAATTAAATGATTGCAAACAGTCTGACCAAGGGTGTGGGTTTGTAAGTTATGGTCTAAAACATCTGGAAGGCCCTAGGTGGCGAATCCTTATCCAGAGGAGAGGTCGGCAATTTAAAAGTGTCTGAATGAATGAGGAAGCTGAGTTAAACAGGACTGCAGCCAAAGAGAAGGAAAGGTTGGATTAGGGTTATTAAATATGAAGGTATCGGATCATATTGGCTTGTGTGTCCTTTGCAACTTGGTCCCAGTGGCTTCCATCGGCCAGTGGCAACCCTCCATGCATGCCCAAATCTGCTCTGGAGAGGCAGGGGACCCTCCAGAGCAGAGAATAGATGGGAGGCTGCAGCAGGGAGGAGAGGGGAGGAGAGGAGAGGAGCGCTCTGTGGTATGGAGTGCAAGTTCGCTCGTGCAGTGCTGGATGTCCCCCTCTGTGATGATCTGCCGAGGCCCCCAGCAAACCTCTTTGTTGGCTCTTCCTGACCCGGCTGCAGTGTGGAACTGAACTGTAGCAGAGTGACTGTGAGTCATGGCCGAGGGACACGCCTGCATCATTCCATGTGATTCATCTGTACCTGGCTTGCTTTCACCATACAGGCCCGGAGCACGGACAGCATCGACACCGCAGGAGAGGGACACGTGCGCTCTCTGGGGAACGCCAACAGCAACATCAAGGGAAAGCCGGCTAAGAGGTAGCGCTGGGGGAGAGGAAGGGCAGGCCCAAAGACGCTGCAGAGCTGTGGGTTCTATCCCCAGTTTGGAAATGGCGCATGAGATCACCAGCTTTTGTGCCACTGGAGTCGTGCCTATAAGTGTGCAGCAAGTAGCATCCAAGAAAGTTTATTTCTATAGTGCACAATGCGTCTATGGCTACTTTGCAGACCAACAGTGGCTAAAGTGGCCAAATCCAGCCTCTGTCACCCCCGCTGTGCCGTCAGTGCCATCCCTGCCATGGCCAAAAGCCACCTTTTTAGCAACAACACATGCCTGTGTTAGCCCCACTCAAAGCTAAATGGCCCAGACGTAGCTTGACTGTAGCGGCTCTGAAGACAAGCTTGGCTGTGGGTCAAATTTAGCCTCAACGCAAGCTAAATTTGGGCTAGATATCTGGCTGTAGCTCTATCATGGCTGCGTTTGTTTTTCAGATCTTTTTTCAGACTTTCTGTAGCATGGGGATGGGGGGGGGGGTGAAAATGGTCTCCAGACTTCCCCCCACAAAAGTTGCCCAGCTCTGCTGTAGATCAAGGATCACGTTGGGTTCAGTGGCAGAGGAGCAGACCTGGTTGTGTCCTCCCCACAACCAGGCAGCCCTGATGGCGGATGAGAGGCTGGCCTGGCCGCTGAACGGTGTGGTATGGGGAGGTAAAGTAGAGGTGGCCATTGTTAGCTTCTTCCGAATCGTCTTTGATGTGAGAGGGCACATGGCACGGGGACAAGAGGTCTGTTGTATCTTAGAGCTTTTGCAGGAGGAGGGCAAAGGGTGTTGCCGGCTGTCTGATTGTTTCATGGTGACAGGATTTGGGGGCTGGAGGGCGCTTGATGTCAGTATTTTGCCTACTGCTATCTGATTTTGGGCTTCCTAGCTGGGTGAAAAGTCAGAACTGCATCCCACAGCTTGCTATCTTGACTTCCTGATGGAAGCTGTCCATGACAGCATCTCATTCCCATTCTTGAGCCCTTTCCGTACCTCTCTTTCCACAGGCTCTCCATCACGCGGGGCCATTTCCCCAAGCTGACAGAGTGTGCCCATTTCCACTATGAGGCTGTGGACTTTGGACACATCCAGGTGTGTTTGATCCCCTTCCTTTTCCAAGGGTACTGGGTTTGAGCAACAGTTGCCTTGGACACCCGAACCCCTGTGGCAAACTGGGGGCAGGATGGGGGGGCAGGGTGGCCATGCTCAGTCTCTGGAAAGCTGCAGCCAATTCTTTGAATTGCTCTCTCACCTGCAGCTGCAGCTTGGCCCAGAGCAGAATGAGAACCTCGGCAACTTGGAAGAGGGAGAGCTGCTGTTTGCTGTTCAAGTCACCTGTCAGGTCAGAAAGCGAGCAGAAATGTTGGCTGGCAGAGAAGTAGTTTGACTTGCTTGGATTCGCTTTTTGCCCCAAACAAAGGGCCAGCTTGGTATAATGGTTCGAATGCTGGGCTGGGGCTTGGATGATCTGGGTTCAAGTCCCCACTCAGCTGTGAAACTCTCACTGGGTGACTTTCGGCTGGTCACGGGCTGTTGGCCTAACCTGCCTCACAAGGGTTTTGTGAGGGGAAAATGGAGAGGAGGAGGACCTTGTAAGCCACCCTGCAAGAGGAAGGAGGGTGGCGTATAAATGTAACATAATACTAAGAAGAACGTGTCCCCTGATTAACAACACATAGTCGAATAATGTGTGAATGTGTTTAACACATTAACACAAATTAATGTGTTTTTAATTTAATTTTTATTATTTTGAATTTCACAAAAATGAAGTGAACAGATCCATGGAAATGCCCTTTAAAATAAGCAGGTGCCCATATTTAAATAACAACATAAATCCAAATACATCTATTATACATGAGCTTCAACCGAAGCACCAAATATTTGTGTATATATACATTCAAGAGTGGCATCTATATATTATCCATTCAGACACAGGAAGCACTGTTAAATTTTCAATCCATTGCATTACAAGAGATGAGCTTCGATCTTCCCAGTGTTGCAGTATCAGTATTTTAGCTACTAAAAGGGTGCGGAAAATCCATTTATGTTGACCATGCTTTAACTTCTAAGATGTGGAAAAGAACATGTACATCAGCAAACATCAAAGAGTGTTCCAATACAAAGTTTGTCTGTCTTACACCTTCCTTCCAAAATTCAGTAGCTACTGGACATTGCCCAAACATTAACAGTATCACACACACACACAAGCAGTTTCTTGATAAGGCAAAGCCTTATTGGCAAGATGTGGCGTTCAAGGACTGTGTCGCTGCACAATCCGCAGCAGAGTTGAAGATACTGATGGGAATACTTAATTTTCTCCTAAGGTGTGATAACCTAAAATGTAAAAAAATATGTGTGACTATTGTTTCAGAAAGAAATGCTGTCTTTTAACCTTCTCTCCTTTGCTTATTTGGAAGATTTTCTATCACAGCAAACACAAGAGATAACTAAAAATAAAGAAGGGCTTTTCCTCCACGGTAGGCCAGTCATGAAGCTGGGCTACAAGCACCCGAGGCATTGTGGCATGTCAAAGTGACGGTCCTCAACCGCTGGGGGAGCATGTTCAAAGCACCTGAGCAGGAGCTCGTGCGGAGGTGTGCTGGGATCCGCAGGGACGCTGCGTCCAAATGCATCCACGAGCGATGGATTTCGTGGAAGGGCCTCTGCTTGCAAGCGCTGTTCCTTAGGGTTTGCCTTTCTTCCTGCAGGGGAAGAGCTGGCAGGTGCACCGCAGCTATGAGGAATTCCGCACCCTGGACGCCCACCTGCACTGCTGCATCTTTGACAGGCGGTTCTCGCAGCTTCCCGAGCTGCCACCCTTCAGCCACATGCGGGCTAACCCTGAGGTGACGGAGGCCATCCGAGCACGTGGCGCCGGCCGGGGAGGGAAGCGGCAGGCTTGTGCTCTCTCCCTGTCGTGGTTCATCACCGGGCCATGCATGCAACAGGCGGCGGTGGCCACGAGGGGCTGAGGCGGCCGGGTGGACTGGGCCAGTTCAGGTGGCTGGTGGGAGAGCCCTCTTTGGGTAGAATCCTCCCACAGAGAGCCTTGACGGGAGGCAAAAGCCAGCCTGTTTGTGCTACTCGTGTGACGGCAGCCTTCCCAGCTGTGCTGGATCACAGCTCCCATGATCCACAGCCATCTGGAAGTGATGGGAGGTGTACTCCACCAGATTTGGAAGGTGCCAGGTTGAGAAAGGCTGTGTTAGAGAACTGGAGCCTTGATATACTTTGCGCATGTTACATGCATAGCTTACGTATGCGCATGCTTTGAACCATGCCGCATCCCAATGAAATTGCTCCCTCTCACTTTTCAAAAGCCGCCTAAGAAATGGGGCACTCCTGGGTGCACATGGTGGAGCCTCTCTGGGCCAATGTCCAGGTCTGGTGCCTGCTGCACCCCACTTACCCAGCCGAGGGTCCCCATTTTCAGTCCCCCAAATTGTTCTCTCACACACTTAATGGCACAGGACTTTTTAAAAGTGGCATTTGAGCACCACCAAACTGAAAATGGCAAGGAGTGGCTGTCAGGCAGAAGTCGGTGATCACGGAAAGGATTAGAGGAGGAAAAACTCTGCAATGAGTGAAACTGGGCTTGCGATGATGGCCGAGGGGAACAGCGGTCCTGCTGCAAATCTCCTGGGGTACCTGCAGGAGGACTGAGGGGCCCCGGGAGCCGTTCACAGAACAACCAACTGCCATGGTCTATTGCTGGGTGGGTTGATATGGTGTGTGAACCTGCCCTTTGTTTTCCGCATGCCAGAGGCATCTGGTTGACCTTTATGGCAGAGAAAGCCAATGCTGCAGGGATCTTAAATGGATAACAGCAATGAACTGCTCTGCCCATGATGCAGAAATTAAAAATGCAACAGACAGCAGAAGGACCACCCAGTTTTACCTTATCAAATGTGTAAAAGAGAAGGAAAAAGAGGGTGGCTTCTGTTACGGAAATTTAGCAAGGATGTGGACTTCCTGAATTCCAGGGCAGGTTGATTTAGAACCTGAGAGCAACTGTGATAAAGGCTCTACCAGCTGCTTCCACCTTTGTCATCTGAGGCAATGGAGGATTAATAAACAGAATAGCTGATAACACAATCACTGTTTGGAGCAGGCTCAGCAGCCACTTTCTTGACCGAGGGAGGCCTGTTATGGCACACTTTGAAAACCTGTACCCTGGAACAGAGGTGGAGAAAGACTGCAGCCCAGTGGTAGAGTCCCTGATTTAGAGTACCTTCTGGTCCAAGGTTCATCTCCAGTTAAGGATCGACCCTGTTTGCAGCGAAGGAGAGCCACTGTTGGCTGGTGCTGCGCCAGGTGGAGTAAGGCCTGATTCAGCGGAAGGAACGTCGGATGTCCCTGGTGTTGCACCTCACCTGTGATAAGAGCGACTCAGTCTCGGTCTTGCATCTCATGCTGGCTCTTGGGGTCGCGTGGTGGCCAGGCTTGCTGGTCCATGAGAATGCCTTGGCGACATAGGCACTGCTGGGGCGGGTGTGGGCGGGCATGGATCCCTGGGCCTGCCCAGCCCTGGGGAGTCGTGTGGGCCTTCAGAGGCAGCCCTGCTCAGTCCTGCAGCCCTTTCCTTAGGTGCTTGGAACTCGGGCGGTTTCCCCATCCCCGGCTTGGCTGCATATCCAGCCTTTCCTTGGGCAGGATTGCGCGGTGCTCCCACCAGGACCTCTCGCTGATGTGGGTGGGAGCGAACTGCCTCTGTCCCGTCCCCACTTGTGTGCATGGCCCACCTCAGATGCTCCCAGACACACACCTGCGGACGCAACAGTCCTAGAGGAGCACCATCCGAGGAAGGGGCCACAGATCTGTATTAGAGAGCCAGTTCTGCATGTCGAAGGCCCTCGGGGCAACCCTTGCCACCCCCAGTTAGAAGTGTTTGAGGAGCCAGAGATGGCCTGGGATGTGGGGAGCTTCTCCCAGTGGGATTAGACCTGGGAGCAGTGGCTGGCAGCTCCGAAGTCAGTGGGATGAGGGGAGAGGAAAGCTCCTTAGGTGGTCAGTCTAAAACCCAGGTGCACTGCCCTACTGACCACGGCGTGGCCAGCTTCCGTTGGCCTCAAGCTGTGGAAGGTGCCCAACCTTCCTCAGGCCCCACGCCTGTCCCTCCCCAGGTCCTGCCTGTCAGAGGGGGAGTGGTGCAAAGGAAGGGCCCATTTTGTCGAGCTCAGAGCCCAAGTGTGCAACGAAACCAAAAGCAGACAAGGCGGATTAATAGTCTCAAGGAAGTTCCCAGTGAAGAAAGCACTGCATATCCTAAGGCTGAAGTGTGCCCACTTCTGGTTTAGCCAGTGCTGGGCAAGACAGACCAATGTCTGGTCTGGTATAAGACAGTTTCCAGTGGAGAGTCCATCTCAAATTATGGTTGGGTCCCTTTGACGCTTGCACTGGGGAGAGGCTGTGCCCATGACACCACGCTCTTTGCATCCGTCTCTCACCAGCTCCTGGTGCCAATGCTTTCGCAGTACCTGGAGAAGCTATCAGCCATTGTGGACAGCAACATCAACTGTGGCCCAGTCCTCACCTGGATGGAGGTGAGACATTTTAAGGATGGTGTGGCGGGAGAATACAACAGTGCTTGTCTGGCATTAGAACATCAACTTCTTCCTGCTAGAGATCGGAAGACCTGGGAGAAAAGAATCGGGGGAAAAAACAGGAAAAATTGGGGAAATATTCCCCAGATATTCTGAACATCATTGGAAAAGTGTGTGTGTGTGTGTGTGTGTTTGTTTTCTTTCCCCTCCTGGGATGTCCCCCATTTTTCCTTCCATCTTTTTATATCTCTACTCGCACTCAGACTAGTCATGCACATTCCAGATCTTCTCATTCCTCTCCTGAAGGTGTCGTAGTGCAGTCCTCTTTCTCAGAAGCTTGTATGGTTTAGCAAGAATATGAATGGTGAGCTTTAAAGTCCCTGGCATGAATCCCACTTCAATTACAAGCCCCCCCCCCCCCACAGCTCTCATAAGGTCAAAACAATATTGGCTTACCTTTCAGGTTTGTTGTAAGGTTTACCAACATAATGTATATGAAATGCTTAAGTTGCTTGGAATGCATACCAGAAAACCTAAGTCCCTTGTATTGCTAGCCTAGAGCAAAACTACACTTGCTAGGTGGGTGCAAATGCATTCAGAGGACCCTTAGATTCCCCTTTTGCATTGTGGTTACCTGTTGAATTTCTGCCTGTCAAGCTGTTGAAGGCACAGGTGGCCAGAAAGCAGATCATGCACCGTGCAGACCAAGTTACAGAAAGCTGGGATATGCCGCCTTCATCCTTCCATCCTTCCCCTACTAGGATGGGGCAAGTCTCCTCCCGCTTCAGGGAGCCTCTTCCCATTCCATTTCAGATCGATAACCATGGGAACCGGTTGCTGGTGAATGAGGAAGCTTCGATCAATGTTCCTGCCATTGCAGCTGCTCACGTAGTGAAGCGCTATATCGCCCAAGCATCCGACGAGCTCTCCTTTGAGGTAAGTCCTGCCCGATGAACATGTTACTCCAGATGGCCTTTCTCTGCAGGCACATGTCTTGCTAGGCCAGGCACCAGTGAAAGGACTGGCCATCCGGTGCTCATCAGAAGAGGCCACCTGAGGGGGCCCACCCCATGGAGGGGCCCCCTCAGGTGCAAAGCAGGGTCCACCAAGGTACTGAGGAACCTGGGCCAATTCTATTGCTCTGTCCATAGAATTTCTCCATTTTTCTTTAGTACCAGTGAAGTTGGAATGAACTAGGTTAGTGGGGTGGTTAAGGGAGCAAGTTATGAGCTTCTAGTCCCCAGTCTGTTGTGGTTGTTATATTGCTGTATTTAGGTTATTTCTATGCCACCCAATAGCTGCAGCTGAAAGTGTAGTTTGCAGCAATCCATAAAATAATAACAACAATAATAAAATCACAAAATTTCACTGCAGGAATTTGAACAACAGATTTAAGCAACCTTGTCAATGCAACCAGGCCTGCTGCATACTCAGCCAGGAAGGCAGCCTCGGCCCGGTGTCAGAAGGATAGGAGACCGGCAGTGCATGATCATTCCGTAATTGGGAGCTGCCACGAGGAAGCCTGAGAGAACAGAGAAGCAGAGCAGGGAGACCTGACCATGGAGGGCAGTTCATTTCCCGCTTCCCTGGATGGCTGATGGGATCAATGTGCAGGCTTGGGTGACGTGCCAACCCCTTGTGGGTCTAAAACCCCCTAGAATCAGCCATGGGTCGCTTGGGTGGCTTTTTGCCCCCAAACAAGCCAACCTGTAGAAGCAGTCCAGGTTTGCATGACACAACAACCCGCTGTAGTTAGTTAACCATGACAGGTTGCTCTGTTGTACAAACCAAATCACTATGTATATGTGAGTGTTATTTTCAGTGTAGTTTTATTTAATCTTTGGTTTTTATTTACTTTCCGTGAGCTTTTAGAGCAAGCTGATTAGCAGAACTAAACTTGATTTCTGTTATATGGGGGAACATCTATCTTACACAAATTTTGGAAAATCGTAATAATATAGATGAAGTCTTTAGGAGAAGCATGGTTTAAATGCTATATATATTAATTTGCACTTTATCTTCACACGAAGCATACAGCTCTGACTCTTAATGTAGGTCTCCACGCACCGACAAGAGTTTTTTTAAAAATTCTGTCTTGCACAGGTTGGAGACATCATCTCTGTGATCGATATGCCACCCAAGGAGGACCGGAGCTGGTGGCGTGGGAAGCATGGATTCCAGGTTGGGCATCAGAAATGAAGCCGGAGAGACCTGTTGGGGTGTATGAGCAGCACTGCCTAGGGGGTGGTCACACTTCCCTCGATGGGCATTTTTCTTGGCAGAGTGGTTCAGGAGGTGGTAACTTCCCCCAGAAATCTCCTCCGCACTGCAGTGCCTCTTCCTTCCAGGTGCTAGTCCCTCCTGTTTCCATCCAAACACAGATGCCACCCTGGCTGGGAAAGCTGCAAGGCTGGAGTTAAGCACTGCTCCGCTGCGCTGTAAATCCCCCTCTTCCATGGCCTGTTTGTGGATGACGTGGCCTGTGAGCTGCATCACCTGGAGCAGCTGCCTGGCATGTTCTTTCAACCCCTTGTGCGATGCAGTTCAGTGGAGGACGTGGGGATCAAGGATTGCACGGGAGGGAGATATTTTCCAGGCTCTTGGTAGCAGAAGCTGCATTTTGCCCTCATTTTCTTGTCCACTGCCAAGAGCTCTGTGCAGCTTTTTAATGCTCCTCGCCCTATGAAGTGGTCCTGATCCAGACTGGCTTGCTTTAAAGAGAAACCCAAGCAGGAGCTGCACGCTAAGTTATTAATACATTGTTTACGTTCACCTTCAAAGTACTTTCAGCTCTCCTAAAAATAACATTGTGCACAATCAAAACATTATTTTGAAAACAAAACATCCGTATTAATACCTGGGTGTTCTTTGTTCACTCACTTGAACACGTAAATCACATGATTTACGGGGGACCAAATCATTGTTCTCCTGTGTTTTCCCTCTTGTTTTTCCATTTTGTTTGAGACCTTTGAAAATCCAACTTCTTTGGAAAGTGTAGAACAGGAGTACAATATCTGCAGGTGTAGGTCACTTCAGTGAAAAGCAGGTGTATACTACAGATACAGAGTATAGCTGTGTGTATAGATAGATAGATAGTATATAGAAAGCTTAAATGAAAAAGCATTTTGGCAATTTGTTAAAAGACTTTAAAAAAGACTTTAAAAAAATTCCTCCGCTGACTGCTTGGTACACAGTGTACCACTTTAACACTGTGTAACTTATTGCTCCAGACTTTTAATTAGTGGTAAAACACTTTAAATCCTATCTTTTAAGTTACTAAAGTTATTGTGCAATAGCAGATAAAAAGCACAGATTAAAACAATGATTATTAAAGGGTGTTTGTGATGACATGCTCATGTTAAATTATTACTCTTTTCTTTTCACACATGGCTTTATTAAGTCAGTAGTGTGGATGGAATGCAGTTTTGTACAGTACCTGTGCCAGAAATGTGACTCTCATTCCTTCTCCGCCCCCCGCCTCACCCTCCACCAGACCCAAAGTGTGGAAAGTGGATTGCAGTTCAGCATGATTGGAACAAGACAAGAACTTGTCTGCAGAACAGCCTTGGGGGCTGCATGGGTCCCATGGCAGTTCCTCGCAGTGGGTCCCGATGATGCATAAGTCTAACTAGAACTGCCTTTATCAATCTGCGTCTGTGCATGTAAATGCAAAACCAGTATGGATGCAAAATTGTAATGGCCATGACGGCACTATTACTGCACCGAAATGTTCTCTATTGTCTGTTTGCCCCATCACCGACAGCAGGCATGTGGGTCAGCCTGCGTGCCAGGGGGCTTTTGTTTACGGAAAGGCCCGTCTCGCTGGTCAGGGGGTGAGGAGGCTGCTTCTTTTATTCTGTGCATTGCAACGCATCTTTGCCCCTTTTCCAGGTGGGCTTTTTCCCCAGTGAATGTGTGGAGCTGTTCTCAGAGCGCCCCAGTCCAGGACTCAAAACAGGTAAGCCTGGAATTCCTTCTCTTTGATTAGATGGTTCTTCCTTGAAGGATCTGGTGTCATTTGAGGGTTTGTTGGGTTCTCGCAGATGTGTGGCCAAACTGGCAGGAAGCGTTAGAACTCTCCTATGGAAACTGTGGAGGCAGTTTTCCCCCATCCCATGACATTTCAGTGTATGCTCCTGGAAACAGTGTTCTCACATTGGGATTTGCAGGAGTGATGGAAGATTATGCTGGAACATTGACAGTACGCTCTTTCAGATGCAGGCCAGAAAGTCCTGGGCAAACCCGACTTTTGGGAGGGGAGTGTAGCTGGATGCTGGAGCAGGTGCTTTATGTAAATGGAGATGCACACAGCCCCTTCATGGAAGTGAGCAAACAAGCCAGAAAATCTTTCACTCACTGACACGTCCCACTTCATCCAAACCAAGAAACAATGGTAACAGCTTCAGAACAGGTTAGGAAGAACATGGTTTGAAGTTGGCTTAATATCCTGGCTTGTTCTAAGACTGTTAACCATTGTTTCTCCAGGCAGGCAAACCAGGAAACGAGTTCATGGAAGACTTACTAGTTTGTTTGCCAGAATGTGTGGCTAAGAGGATCTTTCATGTCTCAAATTATTAATAAATAATTATTTAATTATTATTAAATTATGTCTCAAATTATTATGACCATCCAGTTAATTGACTCTTTATATCAATCAAACTCAGTAAATGCAAAAATGGGTGTAAAGTATGCAAAATAAATGCAAATTTGCATAATTTAAGGATGCAGTTGTCAGTCAAGCAGACTATGTGTGTATACATCTGTGTATGCGCATATGTGTGCGTGTACATGTTTCTTTTAAATACTTTTATACCACTAGCCAAGAAGAGGCCTTTGAAGCAGTTAAAATAAAATGGGTGCAATATAATGGAATCAAAATACAATATGAAAAACCTAACCACAGAGTAAAACAAACACAAAATATAATTATAATTATAAAACATATGCATCAGTACAATATCTTTGCAGCTGTTTTGCTGAGCTCTGAATCTTTTGAAAACAAATTACCTGTAATGAGTTTCTTGTTACAGTTTTCCTGTTAGGGTTACTACAGGGCTTGTGCTGTCTTTTGATATGGTTGTTAATGTGTTTTGATAATAATACTTTGCGTGGGTGTCAGTTTCTCTGTTGCTGCTATACTTGTTCCTCTGTCTGTTGTTAGGTTGTTAGTCTCTCCTTCCTCAGCCCTTCTCTTCATCCTTGTATTAGCTTTCCTCAAAATAAGAGGCACTTAATTTTATTTAAAGGTATTTCTGAAAAGCAGCACGCAGAGTCAAAAGATCCATATGAAATCACAAGGTACAGGTACAGGTAGAAAAAAGCAGCCACTTTAAAATTCAGGGTAAACATTTACCCAGAACAAATAAGCAAGATTAGGACCGGTGCATAAAACCTTTCTCGGCAAATGTAAACCTTTTCATCCGGTTCCAGGCGAGACAAACTTCCAGGGGACATTTCAAGAAGCACGGCCCTCCCTGGCTTCAAAATGGGGATAGGATTAGCAGGCGAGAGGAAGACCACAATTCTCTGGGCATGTGCGGGTGTAGAGGGCACTCCCTCGGAACCATGTAGAATTTAGGACGCAGCTCTCCAGGAAATTTCCCTGCACAGGGCCCATTGACGTGAATGGGCCGTGCAGCAGAAGCAATGTGGAGCGTGGGTGCTGTTCTTGCATAACTTGGGGAGAAGATCTCCCCAGCAGATCTGTCACTTTGGGTGCAACAGGGCTGGCTGAGGGAGCCGGGAGACGTCAGTCTTATTCTCTCCAAACATGCTCCTGCTTCGACCCGTTGAACGGGCGATGGCAACATGAGAGAAGGATGGTTTGTTTGGGTCTGCACTACGTATCTCCAAAAACAGACCTTTCTTGCCCTCCCGCAATGCCCTAGAGTTCCCAGCAACCCCGGAGAGCACTGTGTTTCAAAGAGCTGCACTGTGCGGTGGCTGCCGCCACCAGTAGCTTTGGGGAAGAGCTGAGCAAGGGTGTGTTGGCTGCTCTTTCCCGTCTGTTTCATGCTGTGTGTGTCTTCCTGTGTAGATGGAGAAGGGCTGAGCTGCGGCATTGCCAGGCCTCATGGCCTCCTCTCTCCCACTTCAGGTGAGACATGGGCTAAAAGAAAGACCTGATCCTGGTTGTGTATTTACAGTGGAGTGACCCTGAACATTTGGGTATGAGAAGAAATGTGAATTTTCATGCAGCCGCCATTGCTGCCATGTGCAGACTGCTTTGGAAATGGGATGGAAGCAGCTTGTGGAACTGACACAGGCTGGATACAGTTTAATTCATTCCTCTGTATGATGGGCTTACATGGCCACCTCTTAAGAAAAGACCATCATTGAGTGTTTTGAAAGTAATCATCACACACTGGTGTGGGAATGGGACAGAATGCCCTTATAACTGATCTATGTCAGACGGACACAGGATAGAGACCAGTTCAGCGTTGCGCATTGTCTTATATGTGCATGTGTTTGCCTGTGTGTTTGTGTTTTAAATAGCAGCCACCGGACCCCACCTCCAGGGCTGGTGGAATGGGTTCCCCTCTGCTTCCTACGGTACTGAGCGCCTGCAACTCAGCTGCTGTTCAGCTTCCATATTAATGGCAACTGGCTCTAGGTTACGTCCAAGATGGGAGACAGTAGGCCTCTGTAGCAGCTGCTTGGGAACATAAACGGAGGGATGGTGTAGTCCTGCTTGTGGGTTTTCCGGAGGGATCTAGTTGGCCGCTCTGGGCACAGAATGCTGGACTAGGAGTGGACAATGTGGAGCTTGCCATGTCTCCCTGGACACCTTTCTTGTACCTGGAAAGGTGCCCCACCTCCCCAACTTTTCAAAAAAACAACACTTTCCTAAAGAACGGGTATGCAGGCAATGCGATACGAACATTACAGAACTCCGAAAGCAAGCAAACTGAGCAGCAATACGTTCAGTTTATATTTCGATTTAAAACAATTGCATATATTCAAAGGATTTCATAGATTTTAAAAAATCGAAGATTAGAACAGGGCTCCGATTTCTGTGTAGCAATTATCTATATCTGTAGATTTTAAAATACAATTTCTTACCAGCAGCTGAGATGGCCATGAAAGAGGTTCTGTTGGTGCTGAAAACTATGGGTCCAAGGGAGTTTATTAGCGTGTCGGAGCTCAGCTCCCCACCTCTGCCTTGTATGCAACATTTGGCGCAAGTCACTTGCCCTTTGCCATATCTCCAAGGTCAACACTGTGGATGTGCCAAGGCGATTTATCAGATTGCCAAATGGACCCATTACCCAAAATAATTGCCTTCCCCTGAGGTAGCCCTGTGGTCTAATCGCGGTGCTTCTTATGTTTTTGTTTTCTTAATATCAGATTCTCCCTTGGGGCAAATAGTAGCTTTGGGAGGATAATTTGGATCAGCCAGTGTCATGCCAAGCTAGTCTTCCCTGGATTTAATGTCCACAGAGCTTTCTTCCTGCTGTTTGGTATATTAACTTACCCCATAATAGCCTGCCTCATGATGATTTAAAAACGAAGAGGATGGCATTCCTTGGGGGTAAAAAATGTACAAGAAAATGTAATGCATCCTGTGATACAGCCACAGTTTAAATTTAACCTCATTAATTGTGGCTTGTGCAATATCAGACAATGTGCTCTTAGTGCCTCCATGTTCAGAAACATCCATTTGAAGTGCATTTCTGCAGCAAAGAAGATCCAGTCGCCACTCATGCCTCTGGAAGTGAACATCTGAAGATTCAGAACAAAGAAGCTTCCTTCTGAAGGTTGACAACCTCAGCAGCTCATACTTACAATGTTTATTAAAAGGCTCCCCTGAAACTGCCTCTCTTCTTCCTTCCCCACCCAACAGACTAATTTACCAGGTGCCAGAAAATATGAGCTGCCCCCCCCACAATAGGGGAGCCATGTAGAATTGCCGAATTCAAGGCTTTCAGGCAGGATGTTGTGTTTTTAATTTCTGTGTAGCAAGAAGGGTGGGAGGCATGTTTGCTTCCTTCAGATTGCTGAAAAGTCACCCCAGCTCGTGTTTTTAGTACTTGTAGTACTATGGGCTGCTCCTAGTTTATCTTATTCTGTGCTTGGTTCCACTCAGATGCTTTCCTGTTTTTCTTCCTCTCTTTCATTCTCTTCTAGTCTCCAAGAAACATGGCAAGCTCATTGGGTTTCTTCGCACCTTCATGAAGTCCAGGCCTAGCAAGCAGCGCCTGAAGCAGCGCGGTATCCTCCGGGAGAGGGTATTTGGCTGCGATTTGGGTGAACATCTGAAGAACTCTGGCAGTGATGGTGAGCTGAGAGACCTGTCGTGGGAAGGTCGTGTGGCACCTTCTTCTGCAACAGAATATTGATCATGATACTTGGCTTCCTGCAAGGAGTTCAAAGGAGTGCCCATGGTCCCCTTTCCTGCCCCATTTTATAGTCAAAGTCGTAGCAGGCCTGTTGGGTAGGTTAGACCCAGAGGCTGGGTTCAGACAGCACAATAACCCACACTCCAGAATTGAGTATGGGTTGCAAGTGGGTTATTGAAAACTGTGGGTTAACCAGAACAGCACACAGTTAACAGCCTAACAACAAAGCATGGGTTTTCTGCAGTGAACAAACCATGGTTCGTTAGCCAGCTTGCTTCAGACAGCATGACAACCCATGATTCAACAACAACTGACACTCAGCCCTGTCATGTTGTATGTACCTAGACATCGACAGGTTTCACACAACATCGTAAGCCACTGTGGCTTACTGGGGTCAGAGAAGATGACAAGCTGCCCTTGGCTTGCGATGCCGTTCCCTGAACTCAGGGAGCACGAATGCTGCCAACCCGCTCAGTGAGCTTTATGAGTAAGCGGGAACTTGAACATGGCCCTCCCCAGTCCCAGTCCAGGACACCATGCTGGCTTTCATGCATAGCGGTGCAGGTGGGGGAAGTGGCTCATCCCGTGGAGGGGTCCTGCAGCACCATGTCTGCAGGAAGGCAGCTCTGTGAAATGCAGACCTCTCTCCAGGCAGTGGCGCACTCGCTGCGCGGCAGGAATGGAAACGAGCAAAACAGGGGAGCCATGCATGTATTGCATTGTTCTCCGTGAAAGGAATGACTTTGACCGAGCTTAGAATGGGCATCCGTGGGCTCATTTGGTGGAGTCTGTTGTAGCAGCAGCCAGGAGAGCAGGTGGGGAAGGCAGAGGGAGAGGGAGAGGGAGTGCAGATCCTGGGGCTTGTGTATCTCTAATGGGAGAGCAGCTGGTTTTTGCCACTTGTAACTTTGGTGACTTCTCTGAGATCAGTGTGGATATCTTTAGCCTTCTGTTACACCTTCAAGGGAGAAATTGTGCCCAATTCCAGGCAAAATAGGTGACGAGGTGCCTGCTCTATAAGCAGATGACATGGCACACAGTCTAAGTGTTATTAAAATCTATTTTTAGTCAAAATCCTGGGTGCTCAGTGCTCACAGTGAACAAAATAGAATGCCGAGGGGATTTTAAAGGCTTGTGGGAGTGTTAGGTAAGCCCAGCAATGCCCCAAAGCTTTAGGAGAAAGCAGCTGTGAGTCACAGAGCCTGATTAACCAAGCTTGGAGAAAGTTTCTCCGTCCAGCCTAAGGAACGAAAGCGATCACAGGCCAGCTTGGCTCAACTGTCTCTGCTGTCCAGCTGTTTCCCTATCCACTTTGGGTTTTGCTGAGATGTCTCAGGTATTCCTTCCAGATGCTACAATCTGAGCAGGTTGTGGTGAAGCAGGTGGGTGAGCTTGCCTGGCAGTGAGTGAGTGAGAAAGGACCATGGGTGGACAGGCCAAAGGGCCTATTGAGGGTGAAGGTGAGCAAGCAAAAAGTCCCTGTTCTTCAAGAAGCCACAAGGATCCTAAAATTGGGGAGGGCAAGTCATGCAAGTCATTTCTTTCCATGTTTTTGAACTGTGTAATTAGATCCAGTTAGGGTTCAAGCTCTCATAATTCTTTTTAAAACAAATATTATTTGTATTAGACCATTAGGCTTCTATCCTACTCTGTCAACCAATGGAAGAATACTCTTTGCTTGACATGTGCTCAGATTGTTCATGCACGATAAGGTTGTTTGCTGTGCCAAAAATAGTTCTATGCCACCTTAAGCAAAGCCCTGCTAAGGTGGCTTACATTACAAAATTCCATGAAATAAGTTTACATATAATCATCAAAGGTACAGACACCAGGAATTAAAAAAAATCCAGCTCAGGCAGTATTAAAATCTGAAACATGATTGCAGCTGAAACACAAGACCAGCCGAAGAAAACACCCAACGAAGGGCCAAGAGAAAAGAGATCATCTTCAGGGTATTCCTGAAAGCTTGCAACGGTGGGGCCAACAGACAGCAACTCAGATGGTCACCCTTTCCAGTGGGGCCACTGTGAAAAAGGCCATCATTTTTTTACTGGCCACCTTTATTTATTTTACATTATGCTATTTTAAGCTTTGATATCCCATTCATTAGCATGGAGCTCTCAGAACAGTCATACAATAAAACTCTAGCAAAACAGGATATAATAGCCACAGTCAATCCGTCTATTAATCAAATGAAACAAACAGCAAAACCAAAAGCACAACGGTTTGGACTTCTGAAGCTTTCTGGCTCACTGTTTTCATCCCTTTGTTCCTTTCAGAGACTACTTTTAAAAACTGCATGCTCAACATGTTCACAGTGATAGCCAGTAACCCTGGGCTGCTCTTACGGGGTTGTGGCCAGGATTACCGAGATCATGTATTTATTGTCTTGCCAGTCCCACAGGTGCTGCGCTGCTGCTCCGATTTCATTGAGAAGCACGGCATTGTGGATGGCATCTACCGCCTCTCCGGGGTCTCCTCCAACATCCAGCGCTTGCGGTGAGCCCTGGTGGAGAGTGGGGGTGGCGGAGGGGCCTCGTTTATTGCAAAGGGCCTTACGAAGGGCGGTGACCTATTCAGGCGTGGCAGGAGGGCCAGCACAGGGCACTTTGCTTGCAGAGGTGAAGGGCAAGGTGGCACCTCCTCCCACTGCTTCTACAAGAGCCAGCCGGGCTGGCAGCTGAATCCTTCTGCGACAAGGGCCTTGAGCAGCATCCTCCACTGCACCTTGCAGCAGGCGGCTTATGCCGCGGATGCAGGGCAAGCCGTGTGGCCCAAAACTCGCTCCTCCAGGCACCTTGCCACTGTCTGCAGGTGCTGCTGCCGGTAGGGACTGCCTTGCTTAGCCTAATGGCAGGGCTGGCCCTGTGTGGCAGGCAGCACGAAGGAGGGAGGGTGCAGGAGAGCCTCCTGGGAAAGGGATCAGGTGGACAAAGGCAGTGAAGCCTGCTCCCTGGACTGCGAGAGGAGCCAGGAGCGGGCAGACGAAGCTGGACCATCCCACAGCCAGGGAAAGGGTGGTTCCAGCTTGGGGGGCCCAGGGCTGCTGTGTGTGGTGGGGGGCAGGGGGACAGTCAATCCATCCAGGGCCTGAGAACGCTCCATCAGGCCTGGAAAGGGGGCTTCAGAGAGCCACAGGGAGCAGCTGCCCACAGCATCAAGGGCTGTTCTGGCCTCGGCTGCTCTTGTGCTGCACCACTTCGGCTGTTTTCTGCCAGTGCGGCTTGCGGCAGGTTTGGGAGCTGGGATGAGAGAAAACGGCTCAACCCACCCCAGCCCAGCACCCTCTGCATGCCTTGGACTCCGGCTCCCAGCAGGCTCCAGCCAGCTTGTACAGAATCCATTCCCATCTGCACTTTATATTACTTAGAGATGCAAGGGGCTGCCTTACACCCCCCAGCGAGGAAAAAGGCAATATGGCTGGGAGATTGGTGCAAGGTGTGCTGCTTGGTGTTATGTTCCCCTCCTCCTCCCTCCCTGCCTCCAGGCATGAGTTTGACAGCGAGCGGGTACCTGAGCTGTCCAAAGACGTCTATCTGCAAGACATCCACTCGGTCAGTTCTCTCTGCAAACTGTACTTCCGGGAGCTGCCGAACCCACTGCTCACCTACCAGCTCTACAACAAGTTTGCTGTAAGTCTGGTGACAGCCAGGGAAAGTTCCCCCTTCTGCTCCAGATGACCAAACTGCCTCTCTGTGAACTATTCCGCAGGAGACTTTCATTGTGCATTCATGATTCCTCACTCAGTGTAGTTTGCAAGCGCTTTGCAGTGTTGTCATCCTCCAGGGCCTGTCCCATGTTTTGCAATGTTTTCCCTGGCTTTATTTATTCATTTATTTTTAGATTGGGGAAGGTCCGGTAATATCTAAGAATTGCATCATGAAACCCTTGTGTAGTTCCTTAGTTCCACAGTGCCACTTAGTGGCTATATGATGGAACATACAGAAAGAAAGAGAAGCGCATGCGCACTCTAGGAAAAAACACGCAAAGGAGCTGTTCTTAATCCTGCAAAGAGTTGAAAGCAGAAACCTTGATAAAGTGGCAGGTTAAAAGCCTCATGTAGAAAAGCTCCACGTCACTCGTGTTTCGGTGCAACAGCAGCTCTACCTCTTGTGCCCTCTCTGCCGGTTCATCAGGAGAGGAAATGTATCTTCTGAGCAAAATTCTCTAGCATGTTTGTGTGAAGACTTTTATAAGGGAGCTTTTCACATGATTCTTTGAGCCTGAATTAGTTCTATTAAAAACAAATCTATTAAGGATGAAATCCTGGGCTTGTTTAAATTGAAAAAAAGGGCTGCACATCCCAGCTTCCCCCAGAATGGTGCTCTAAATGATTAAAAGAGAGAAAAAAAGCAGATCATCCAACCATAATGTACCATTGCACAGTAAAGTATCAAACAAGTAAAAAACCTGTAAGAGTCTAAATAATATTTGGCTAAAAAAACACTTTGCAGCATGAAATAATCAGTGACAAAATAGGAGTTCCCCTTCCCAGCATAGGAGACAGGAAGATGTCCTGAAAGACAGTGTCTTGGCCAGGTGGCCGAGATGGTGTCTCCGTGGCTGGGCAATCCTTGCCTTTTGTATTCTGCCCTCATCCCCATCCCTGCGCTGGCAGAGGAACCCAGCACAGCTGGACTGCAGGGTGGCCGTACTCCTGTTCTGAGCAGTGTCATTGTCAAGGCCACACATGACCTCCCGAATCCATTCGACCAACGGATGCCCAGCCTGGGCTCCGTCACCTGCCTAGCGCCAAGCACTTTTCCGCATGTGTTCCGGTGATGCAGAACCGCAGCTACAGGGGGCTCAAGCCCATCGAGAGAGTTGGCCCGGGGTGGGCACGAACCAGCCCCCTGTGCTCACATTCCCAGGCTGAGCAACGGGAGTGGGAGTTGCAGAACAAAAGGAAAGAGGAGGCTGAGCAGCGGAGTGCAATTACATCGCCCGCCAACGCCAGCTCCATCACCGGTGTGGCACTTCCTTCACTTCCTCCTCCTTTTGTCTTACCTGCTCTTTGTGCAGTGTGCTATTTTAAGCTCCCACAACTCTGGCTCTCCCTTCCCCTTTTCTCCTCCCCTTCCCTTTCTTTTTAGTGTGTTGTATTTGCATTTGGGACAGCTTGAGAGGCATCACCCAGCCAAGAACAATGATGAGGGAAAAGCCGCCCGCCGGTGAGGGCTGGAGCATCTTGAGGGTGGGGAACATGTCAAACGCCTCACTGGAGCGTTATCCCCCTCGTGTGAATTCGTAATTTTTGCTTTAGAGTCTGCCCTAAGTCCAGCTCTAGCTCCTAAACATCTAGGAGCCATGCTGGCTGGGGATGATGGGATTTTTAGACCCTCACAGCTGGTGGGGACTGCTCTGGGAAAGGCTGCTCTGCTCTTCGTACATGTGCAAATGGGGGTGGGGGGGAAGCATTGTTTCTGATCGCCCACTAAGAGGTGAACTTGCTCCTGGCCTTCCAGCCAAAGAACACAAGGCCCTCGCCCTTATTTTTAAGTTTCATTAAGAGCTATTTTACTACGATTTAACACAGCTAGGATGCAGTCCCATGAACTGCTCCTTACTGCTCAGATGTCCCGAACTTGGAGGCTTCTGAGTTGTGGATGCTCTTTTCATGCTGTCTAGGGAGGGCCCTGCAGAGCAGGAGAGATCGAGGCAGGAAGAGACTCGGAGTGGCGCATTTGTTGGCCCTTCGGCCTCATCCCTCCCTGCTCACCCAAACACTGCCCTCCTCCTCCTCCTCCTCCTCCTCCATGAGATCTCTCTGACCTTGGAGAGGCAGCCAGCACAGGTCTCCATATGCCAACAGAGCGGGGAGAAGGGGCTTGTCCATCATAGCCATCCTGTTGCCTGTACTGGCCGAACGGCTGGTGGGTGGGAGCTGGCTGAAGTCTCACAGAGCAGTTGCGGGGAAAACCAGCATGTTTTCCCTTCCATGTAAAGTCTAATAAAGGGACAAATCGGTTAGGACTAACTTAAATCCCGTTGGTTGCACTAGGGCACCAGTGTGGCAGGAGAAGCCCTGGATCCCCCCAAGCCTTCTTGCGCCCGCGCCCCTTGCCTGCCTGCATTACCACTCTTCCTAGGTACTGAAGGTTGAGGAGCTGTGGGCTCCCCGTCCTCCCAGGGCCCCACGCTCTGTTATGTCAGCGGCCGCCCCAGGGCCCGAAGCGTTGTCTGTGGGGCAGTGGCACCAAAGACTGAGCACAGCCCATTTTCCTCCTGTGTTTCTTGCTGCCCTTTCAAGGCCTTCCACCAAGGCTACAGGGAAGTTCTTTCCGGCTATTTATCTGCTCCCTGTTCAGCTCTGCCCTAGCCCTTCCCTGACTCTTAACATAGCAGATGCTCCTTCCTGCATACTAGCTGGTGCCTGGTGGCTCAGCCACGTTGGTTGGGCAGGAAGCTGCAGGAAGAAGAGCTGCAGAGGAAGGCTCTCGTCAGTGCTTCAGGCGAACTTCCCTGCTGCCTGCCGCTCTCTCCATTGGCTCAGCACAAAGCGACGGATTGATTGCGTCCTGTCTTCGCTCTTGCCTCCGAATTCCCACACCACCACAATCCTTTCTAAAATCCCGGAGAGATTCTCACTCCTCCACTACTTTTCTGGAGCAGTACATTTTCTTTTTTAGCCCTTGGTGCAGTGGAGCAGTTGCTGCCCTTGTAAGGAAGGCAAATCTCCAGGCACGTGTATTGATAGTTACATTATTCCTTATATTGTCATCGTACGTTTCAGACCACTGTTGGGCAGTATCCGGCATGTCACTGGCACCAATGTAAATTACACTGCCCGAGCGCAAGGATCCTCTCACGCGAAGCCACTCAGTAGCCTTTCCTGGCTAGAAAGCCTATCATGAGGGGTATCGGCTGCAGGGTGGTGTGGAAAAGCTGCAAATCCGTAAAATGGGCTCTGCCTGCTCCACACCTGCCCCCTTCCCCATCCCCCTTCCTGCAGGAGGCTGTATCCGTTCCGGGGAATGAGGAGCGCCTGGTGCGAGTGCACGATGTCATTCAGCAGCTGCCTCCGCCGCACTACCGGTACGCATTGCCAGAGATGTGCCATGATGCCCCGGGCAGGTAGAGAGGCTGGGCAGAGGGTCTTGGGAGGCCGGGGAGCTGGGGCGAAGGCCAGGCAGGCCGGGGACGGGGTGCTCTCCCAGTAGCAGCTTCTCCTCTGTCCCCACAGGACCCTGGAATTCCTGCTGCGGCACCTGGCACGCATGGCTATGCACAGTCAAAACACCAGCATGCACATCCGCAACTTAGCCATCGTTTGGGCACCCAACCTGCTGCGGTGAGATGCCCGGGCTCACGGCCCAGTGCCGCACTCTCCCCCGTGCTCCCCTGTACTTCCCGGATGCTCTGTCTTGCACCCCCCCAGCTCAATGCCGGCCTGTGCTGCCTGTGGAGTCTCCTCCGAGCTGCCCTGGCATTGTTTGTAGGCTAACGCCAGATGCAAGGGATGCCGCCTTTGCTGTAGTCCTGAAGCATACCGCTAGTTTCCCTGGTTCCTTGCTGATATACTCTGGGACAATGGCTTGGTCCTTGTCAGGATCGCTGCGAGGGGTCTGCCCCAGTGGCTTTCTGCCAGAAGCGCCTCCAGCTCAGAGGCTGGCAGTGGTGGCCCCATGGGGCAATTTGAAAAACTCTCCTGGGCACCAGCACAAAATGTCCTCCATGAGAGGCACAGCAAGTTGCAAAGGACAAGTAACCTGCCCCAGAGACTGTGTACAAGGCAGAGGTACTGACCCCCACACACCCAGTAATTCCTCTAAGCCACTGTTTGCAGTGCCAGTGGAAATCGATTTCACAGAAGGCACACTCTGTTTTCTCTCCCTCCCTCTCCTCTGCCAGCTCAGTTCTCCCAGTCTCTCTCTCTCTCACACTCACACACGGGTGCACATACTCCATGTGAGTCGGGGCAGGACACCTTGGTCAGCACCAAGAAAGAAGTCTGGGGGCATGTTGATGGCCCTGGGCGCCATGTTGCCTTCTGCCGCCCTCCTCATCCGAGTCTCCTCCTCCTCTGCTTTGGCTCACATCCATTCCACCCTCTCCCCTGCCCTCGCGCCGGCCCTGCCACTTCCCCACCGCCTCCCCAGAATGCCTCGTCGTTCCCTCCAGCACCAGCCTTGCCCTGCGCCGAGGCCCCGGCCCGTTTCCCTCACAGCCGCAGCCGTACTGTTCCCGGCCCTTCTTCCTGCTCGCCTGCGCTGCCGTGGGGCTGTGCTGCCTCCCCTCTAGGCGTGTCCTCTTGGGGCCCAAGCATGCTTGTTCCACCCCAGGCCTTCCTCCGGCTGCGCAGTGACTTCTGCTCTGCTTTTCACTTCAGGTCAATGGCTCTGGAATCTGTTGCTCAGTGCGGAGCCGATGCCTTCCGGGAGGTCCGTGTTCAATCCCTTGTGGTCGAATTCCTCCTCAACAATGTCCAGGTTCTCTTCAGCGATACTTTCACCTCAGTCGGCAAGGACAGCGCAGGTACCTCACCCAGCTGCAGAATCATCCTCATCCTCATCCTCATCCTCATCCTCATCCTCATCCTCATCCTCATCCCCATCCCCATCCCCATCCCCATCCCCATCCTCATCCTCATCCCCATCCCCATCCTCATCCTCATCCCCATCCCCATCCCCATCCCACATCACATGACATTACATTTCTGTACCGCCCGTAGCCGGTCATTCATCAGGATTTCAACTAGGACCAGCCCTGCTTAGCTTCCAAGATTAGGCAGGTTCAGGCCCTTCAGGCTATCCAAAAGCTATTTGAAATCTGTTCAAAACTCCTCCGTATCTTCGTCACAGAACAACACATTCCAGGGAAGGCCCTTTTCACAGAGCACGTAGTTCAGTTATGGAATTCACTTTCACAGGTGACCAATTTGGATGTCTTCAAAAGGAGATTGGACAAATTCTTGGAGAAGGCGACTCTACGAACACCAGTTGCTGGGAGTCTTCTGCTGCATGAATTTATCTGATTCCTTAAAAAACCATCCGCCTTGGTCCCCATCACTATGTATTGCCTTAGCAAATTTCAGACTTGTATAGCCGTGTTGTGCTGTTTGGTCCATCCTCCTGTCCCTTGTTTGGAAGATCAATCCAAAGAGGGTGCCAGGGGCTTGGACTTCGATGCTGGACAGGACAGGGAGATGCATTCCATAGACCGTGATGCTTTAAATAGATCTGTGTTGGTGCAGCTGTACAGAGGAGGGCTCCGTTTAATCATCCCTGTCTCTTCCGTGCTGCTTCTTTCATCTGGGCCATAACCGCATAGGCAGAGCCTCTAGGCCAGTGGTGGCGAACCTGTGGCACGCATGCCACAGCGGGCACACAGAGCCCTCTCTGTCGGCCTGGGAGCCAAGTCGCCCCTGCGTCACCCAGGGGCCGAGCATCAGGGCCATGCGCATACTCGGAAAGGAGTCGTGGTGCCAGGTGATGTCACAAGTCGCAACACATTAGCTGTGACTTGTCCGAGCTTTCGCACGGCTAGTCAGTGCACTGCCAAGGAGAGAGAGAGAGAGATCGATCTTGGACTGGCTGTGAGTTGTTTTTTCTAAACTAAAACCTCTGTATTCGGGTTGTATTGCAGTGTTGACACTTTGCGATAAATAAGTGGGTTTTGGGTTGCAGTTTGGGCGCTCAGTCTCTAAAAGGTTCGCCATCACTGCTCTAGCCGGTGCTCCAGCAAGCTGTCCAGCTACTCTTCTGCCATGGCATTTGCTAAAGGAAGACCTGCCGGAGAGCCACATCAGCCCAGGAGGCAGCTGGCATGGCCCCTCAGAAACCTGGCCAGGCCATGGTGCCTTGCTTTGAGGGTGTGGGATGGATACCCCAGGAAATCACCTGCTTGGGTGTGTGTGCGCGGTGGGGCTGGTGCAGTGTGGGAGCAGCAGGCATGCCCTCTCACTGCAGGCAGTATGTGAGCCTGAACTGCAGGTGCTGGCATGCTTTTTCAAAGTGGGGCTCTCTTACTGAGGAGCATCAGTTTCTCATGATCCAGCGCCTAGAAATTGTCCCAGGCTTCCGTTTTGCAACAGCAACCGCATCTCTGCTCAGGTTTCTCATGAAGCGTAATGTTATGGAAGACTATTTTAGCTGTTCTCGAAAACATTCATGGAAGTTCATCACAGTTCATCACATTGTTGGGTTGTTTTTGTCGCTGCATTTTTAATAGTGGGCTGCTGTTTTCTTAGTTAACTGGCCTGGGGGCCTTTAAGCAGAAGGGCAGACTATACATTTTTAAGCAAGCAAACAAGTATTTAAGGAGCAGTCACACGGTCTTCACCTACAGAGGAAGCCTGGTTTTGCACGTTGTGTGACGCTGCTGATTCAGCTTTCAGTCTCATTACCTCTGTTATGATTCAGGCCGCCTGTCCCTTTTAAGCCGCAGGTTTACATTCATTATATATGTGCTTCGCCTTCGTAAAAACAGATGCCATAAGACAATGCCAACGTGTTTGAGGCCTTTGAAGGGCAGGAGGGCAGAGGTGTGCTGGCGATGGCACAGGCGAGTCAGAATCTTCACTGCTGACTCTCCCCATTTTCCATAGACCCACACTGCAGATTTGAAGGACTGCTTTTTCCGGGCTCCTCCCAGGATGCCGAGGTGTCGTGTGCATGTGCCTTCTGACCTGGGGGCTACTCTGGCGGGGCAGGCCTGCTTCTTGACTCCTTCTGCACTGTTCACAGCCTGCTTCCTCCAACAGGGCGCTGCTTTCTTCCCCGACCCAAATCCCAGCTGGTCAGCTGCCCTTCCACCCGGTTGCTGTCCTTGGAAGAAGCACAAGCAAGGACCCAGGCCCTGTGCAAGATCTCCAAGCCAGAGGCCAAGCATGGATCCACTGACCTGCAGGGACAAGGGAAATTCTCCGCCGGGTTGGGTTCGCCTGACACCAGGTAATAGAGCATCCCTGGGCGTGGGCTGTAGCGTACCTCTACACAAGATGCCGGGGACAGCGGCTGGGACGCGGCATCCCTTCACTGCCTTGCCTGGGGCTTCTGCTAGCATCTGGCTGCCTGCCGTTGTCTCCTGGACAGGGGGACTAAATGGACCTTGGAGGCAGCTCTTACGTCAAACTGTGTCAGGAAGCCAGGATTGTTCCCTTCCGTTTTGCAGACGGCTGAATTGCCTTGAGCTGATCCGTCTCTCTTATCCATAGGCAAAAGGCGGAAAATAACGGGAGACTGCGGAAGACATCTGGTCCTAGCTGGAAGGCCTTCTTTGCCATTGGCAAAGCACCAGTCACATTCCGCAAGAAGTCGCATCGCCTTGGAGAGCTTCTGAGGCTTGGGGAAGCCCTGCCAGGTGAGAGGACCAATGGGCAGCTGAATGTGCTGCTGCCGGCCGCCCCACTGCCCGTCTCCACGTCCCCGGGAGCTCTCTCGTTGTATGCTGCTGTGTGTGCTCAGGATGCATGCACAAGCCGCAGGAGATTCTACTTTTATCTGTAGCTAAGGAGGGATTTGAACCCTGGACTTCCCATCCCCAGAGGTGGGCAGCCTTTTTCCAGCATTCTCACAAGGACCTGCCAAAAGTTGTGTCCCAAGCACACAACATAACAAAGTGGCTGCTTAGAGCCAGCTTGGAGTGCTGCAGTGGGAAGAGGGAAGGGCAGGGTGGGCTGTTGGCAGTCTGAGGGCCACCTCTGCCTTTCTGCAATACAGACCTCTCACAGGCAATACAGACCTCTCACAGGAGCGATCTGCCTCGTCCCAAGCGGACCTCCCGAGACAGGGCTGGAGGGGGCAGAGCCGGGGAGAGAGAGAGAGAAGCAGAGGCCGTGGCCCTTAGCTTGGTCTCTTGTTCCACCCAGCGCTGACTTGGCCCAATCTGCCACCAGCATCTGTCCTTTGACAGGTTGCCTGCTAAAGAAATGCAGCTCTTGGCAGAAAAAAATGGCCCTGGTGTTCGACTAGAATTTGCTCGCTACACCCAGCTACGAGTATAAGACCTGCCTATGCCATTCTGGGCCTCCTGGGGGAAGGGTTCTTTTCAGTGTAATGATGTGAGAACATGTGCTTGAATTATCTGTGGAGGAAATTTCAGAATTTCCAGTGCATGTTGAACCCTTACTCTTCTTTAGGGAAAATAGCTTAGAAAAATGATTAAAATGAAGCACAGGAAATATTATCACGGTGAGGTGCTTCCCTGCTGGCTGCTTTGCCTTTTCTGTGGTTAATTATAGTTTGAACTGTATTCTGGAATTCAGTTTGCAAATGTCTTAAGCACCTGCTGAGATTCCTGCTGCCTTTGTGGCAGTTCCCCAAAACCATGCTGCATAAATCAGGGTTTTATCTTGAATAAATTATGCAAATAAATCAGATGCACTTTGTATGTGCATATTTGCACAATTTCCTCTGCTTCTTGCAGCCAGGGGGAAGGCAATATGCATGCACAGCACAGAGGTCCTACTGCTGGGCTGAGGGATCTCCTCCAGCACTCGCTATGCATTTCCAAGCTTTGTTCAGCACCCTGAAGGGCCACAAACACGCTTTTGTAAACCCCCAAACCTTGGAGGCCCAGATGCTCAATTCTGCACCAGATACCAAACTCTGTGAAGGTGTTGTGCTACTGCAGAGGTAAACTGGAAACTGAAACCAGTCTCCCAGTAGACATGCCTTTATACCAGCGATAAGCAATCTGGTGCCCCACAGCTGCTTTGGACCACAGTCCCCACAAGCCATAACCATTGCCCATGCTGTTTGAGGAAAATTGACACGTCCAGCTTGGTTGCTTTCTCCTGTTGTATGTATAGATGTATGTCAGTGTTAGGCTGCTGAGGTTGGAGCTTCATGGGCGAGGATTGCGGGGGAGAGTGGAGAAGACCCTATTCAGAGGGTAATAATATCCCAGTCCTCTGCCTTGCCTTGCTGCAGGGGGCCAGGCGGAGACGGTCACCTTGCGGTCAGCCAAGAGTGAAGAGTCCCTGACATCACAGGCTGGCATGACAGGTAACACACTCCATGCATGCAAGAGAGGGTGCTGGGGTGCACATTGGTGACTTTTCCCTGCAAAAAGAGGCTGCACAAACGCACTCTTAGTGTTGCAGCTGACAACCGCCCCCCCCCCCCAGGGCACCGGCAACATCCATCCTTCTGGTGGGCAGAGAGGCTGTCTGTGCACAGACCTACTGCTGGCTTTCCACCCCTCTCAATTAATGGCTTTGACCATCAAACAGATGTGCAAGAAGAGGCCATTGTGGGTGTTCAACTCACGAAGGCCCGGCGGGAACATTTCCCTGCCGGAAGGACCGATGAACAGGTCAGGCGGGTGGTGTGTCCCGCCCAGCATTGCCTGGGAACTCTTTGTAGCTCAGGAATGCCTTTCAAGCACCTGCTGCAGGACTGAGCCAGCTGCTGAGCCCGGGAGCGTTGAGCGCGGGCCCGTTGGCTGAGTGCTGCGCTGTGGAGCTGCAGCCCCCGCAGAGGGGAGGACCAGTGTGGCCAGAAGCCTCTGCAGACGGTGGAGTGTTCGATGCTCCCCTGCGGCACAGGAGCCGCCTGCCAGGGGATCGTTGGCTCTGCAGCTGGAGTGCAAGCAGCCAGTCCGCCAGCCCCAGCAGAGCCGAGCCCTGCTGCCTTTTCCAACTGCTGACTCGTTCTCTCTCTCTCTCTCTCTCTCTCTCCCCCCCTTCTGGATCCTCGGCCAGGCCTCCCCAAGCTGCCCTGCCTGCGACGCCCGCACTCCAGCAGCGATGCCTTCCCCACACTCAAGCCGTGCCGCTCCTGCTCCTCTCTGGGCTCCTCCGAGTCAGGCCGGGGTGAAGGCCTGGCTGCCGGGACGGGGGATGCGGCTGCGCGGCGTCGCTCCTCCTGGCTGGAAGGGGACTCGGAGCTGGACTCGGAGCTGGAGCTGAGCCCCCCCGGCCTCCGGGGCTTGGACTTCGACCCACTGACCTTCCAGTGCAGCCCCCCTGCTCGACAGCCCTCGCTCTCGGACAGCTCTGGCTCGCCGAGCCCCGTGGGGGCCCTCTCGCCGTGCTCTCCCCCCAGCATCGGCAAGGACACGTCGGAGCCGTTGCCGGTCTCTCTGCCGGACAAGGTGCTGGAAATGTTCGCTGGCAGCGAGGCCCGGGGGGTGAACGTGCGGGCCTCCCCCCCCGCACATGATCTCCATGCTGCTGTGTGCCGCAGGCGGGCAGCTCAGCGACAGCTGTGAACGGGAAGTCCGCTGCAAGATCACGCAGGTCAAGGGCAGCATCTCTGCCCACGGTGAGTGCCCCTTCCTTCTGCTTTGCCTTCATTTGCATCTTGGGCCCACCTTCCCCGCCTCCTTGCTTGGTGTTTCCTGGGCCACGCACAAAGAGAGAGGAATCAGGAGTCCCTGCCGGCGGGCTTACGGCAGAGGCGGAGTGCCTGCTTCAGCCCTCGGGCCACATTTTGGAGGAATGGTTGGGGAATGCCTTCCTGGGCCAGGCAGGGCCAGAGCCAAAAGGGCAGGGGCAAAATACCGGCCTATTTTACAGCTAGTCACTAAGTCTTAGAAGAGGCGTCCCAGTCTCTTAGAATGGGGGGAAGAACATGCAGAGCTAGGAAGCGAACTGTCATGGGAAAGGGATGTTGGCTCACAGGCAGGTCTGTTCTGGGTAAATTGGTGGAAAGCATTATTAAAAAAATAAAACAAGCAAATAGAGGGAGCAAATCTGTTGATAAATAATTGAAATGGCTTCTGCAAAAGGCAAGCCATCTCTTGGTCTGATCTAGCATGGCTTGTCCTACATTCTTAAGTGATTATAAGTAAAATTAAACATCTAGTATATGGTGTGTGGGGGGGATTAATTTGAAAATCATCTTGACATATTTTCCAAAGTCCGTCCGTCCGTCCGTCCGTCCGTCCGTCCTCCCTCCCTCCCTCCCTCCCTCCCTCCCTTCAAGTCCCAGTTATAGGTATTACTGGAATCAACAGGATAGCTTTGAAGTTACAAAATTTTAACACTGTTCCTCAGAGTTTGTTTTCAAAAGCAAAATATGTTAATGACCCGTGTCCGTTGCCACGATGTTCTGAGCTGCAGAGATTTTAAAGAAGCTGAGACAGAGAATGAGAATGGCAAGATATTTTTCTGTGTCCCTTGGAAGCACGTCGGCTTGCTGCTAGGGTTCTGCTCCAACCGTACCTAGCATAACTGTTAATCCAGCCCCAAAGCTGGCAGTAAGAAGCAGAGTCCTTCTTTGCTCGTCTTCCTTTCTGGGTGGCTGCTTCACCTTCCCCAACGGTGGGGCCGGTTCTCATCTCTCTTTCCCCGCTCCTTTGCCTTTTCCTTACCCAGGTGCAAAAGTGGAAGCTGCACCCACCTCGCCCGGTGCGCTCTCTGTCCTACGGCACATCCCCCCGCCTCCGCCCCCCAAGAACCCGGCTCGGCTGATGGCGCTGGCGCTGGCCGAGAGCGCCCACCAGGCGGCCCTGCAGCAGAAGCAACAGGCTGGCCACGGGCGGAAGGAGCCCCGGACGCATTTCCGACGCTCCCTGTCGCTGGAGTGCAAGGCGGGAGAGTTGCCGAGCGGAGCGCGGGCGCTCTACTCCATGGTGCGCGCCAGCCCCAAGGCCCCGGGCCCCTTCTCGCTGCAGGGGCAGGCCAGGGGCCGCAGCATAGGAGGCCACTGCCGTGGCCCCCAGGGAGGGACCCAGGTGAGGCCGGGCTGGGGCTGGGCTGAGCCGGCTCTGCCTTTAGGCAGCATGCAGGATGGGCTGGGCCAGAGGCAGGCTTTCCCAGCAAGCAAGGCTGGACTAGAGCACCCATCATCCCCAGCCAGCATGAACATGGGGCCGAGGTGACGGGATTTTGTAGGCCAATGTATCTGGAGGGCACCAGGTGGGGGGTGGTTGATTTGGGAGATGGTGTTTTTGCTCCCATGGCAGGAGGTGGGGAAGGGCAGGGCTGGGTGGGCCACTGCGGCCGCTGCTCCTCTTTCTGTCGCAAAGGGTGGGGTGGGATGTGGGCCTGAATGGGGCGGGAGGGAGCCTGTTGGTCTGCAGGGGTGTGTTTTTGGGCGATCCGAGACCGGTCCCCCGCGTTCACCTCCCGTGCCTTGTCTTTCCACAGGTGCCGCTCTGCCAGGCCTCTCCCTTGGGCAGCTCGGAGTCCTTCTCCCCCTGCCGGAGGGTCCTCGCCGACGTGCCCCAGCGAGAGCCTCAGCCGCACTCCTTCTCCGAGCCCTACCACCTCTCCGCCCCGTCCCCTGCCTCCCCCGCCACCTACGGCTTTCACCACCAGTCGCCTCCGCTCTCGGTCTCCTACCAGCCCTCCCGCCGGCCTCACGACCCCTGCCCGCTCTCCAGCCAGTGCCCCGCCCCGCCCAAGCCCCCTCCGCCACACTTCCCTCTCGTGCCTGGCCACCTGCCCCGCAAAAGCAGGCCGCCTGCCTCCCAGTCCTACCTCCCCGACCATCCCTTACGGCACCACGGCCGCTTCCCAGCCTCCTCCCAGGCGGGGCTCAACGGGACGCCTCCTCCCCAGCTGGAGCACGAGAACCTCTATTACGAGATCGTGGGGGAGCCCCCGGCGTACCCCGGCCTGGCCAGGCCCTGGCCCGCCTGCCCACCCCCGGAGTACCTGGCCACCTTCAACGCTGCCTACGGGGTGTTTGAGCGGCCGTGGCGCCAGCCCGCCCTCCCGCCGGGCCCGTCCGCCCTGCAGCCCATCCTGAAGACCCCCCGAGCGCACTCCCAGCCGACGCCTCCCGCCGCGCCCCGGCAGGAGCCCATCTACGTCAACGTGCCCTTCCCGGAGGCCCCCTCGGTCAGCCCCGCTCCCTCCCCGCCGCCCGAAGCGGCGCACCCCCGCAGCCATTCCGATCCAGGGGCTGCCCAGCCTGTGCCCCACCACTGCAGGCCTCCGTTGCCCCAGAAGCAGAGGCTCGGCTGGGGATGCCCGCCCGCCGGGCAGTACCGCCAGCTCGTGGAGGCTTTGCCGTGCAGCCGTGCCCTGCTGCAGCTCTACCGCCCCCCCCGCGGCTTGCTGGGGCCGCCCCCCCTACGGCCCCGAGCCCATCGTCACCTACGACGGACCCGCGGCGCGCCCTGGGAGCGTGGCCGCAGGCCCTGCCTCCTCCCTGCGGAAGCTGGACGAGTCCCCCCCACAGTACGGCAACGTGGAACGGAGGGAGGGGTCCCCGTCCGGGTGCTACCTGGGACCCAGCTGGACCGTGTACACAGAGGGCCAGACACACAGCTACTGCTGAGCGGCCGCGCCGCAAGAGGGGCTCCTCGGGGCAGGCCTCCGGGCGTCTGGGCCCCTCTCTCCGCCTCTGGGGCCGAGGGCGTTCTGCTGTGGTCCTCTTTGCTGTGGAAAACATGTACACACTGCAGGGAAGGCTCTGCCACACCGGCTGCTGTGCCGGCCGTCTTGAAGACGTCTCCGCAATTGCTCGAGAGCACACGGATCTCTGAAGGCCGCTCTGGGGAGCCGCACGGAGTCCATCACAAGTCGACCGACGTGACCTCACCTGCCGCCCATCGGACTGCATCCCTTCTGCCACGCGGATGCGAGAACTGCTCTGCCGAGTTCATCGCGCACAAAATCCCCCGGTTGTCTCGCGCTCCATGCTGCCCCTGTCCCTCCCTATCGCCACTTCTGCTCCTCCCCTCCTCCTGCATCGCCAACAGTGGATCCCCTGCTCCTCCAAGGAGGGCTTTCCGTTCCAACGGAATGTGTAAAGTCACGTGGTGGACCCCCCCGCCCCCCGGATTACATCACCTGCTAAGGGGATCAGGCTGCTCCTGCTGGCCGTGCGCTGCAGCGTGTGGAGCCGGCACAGTGGGGCACTGTTGACTCACACTGCGTGTGCGTTGCACCTCCGCCTGACACTGCAGGCTCTGGAAGGGGAAGGCAGGGAGGAATGGTGCAGATGGCCACCCCCAAAACATTTATTCCTATGAGTATTTGCAGAAAAGATGAGTTCTAACTTTTTAACCGTTGTTTTAACCCAATTAAAACATTAACCGCCCCCCTCCGCACACACCTTGTTCCTGCTTTCCCAGAGATTCAGCCAATTCCGGGGAGAAAGCACTACTTAAGAATCCTGGTTTCTCATAAATGCACCAAGGGTCGGTAAATCAGGGTTGCTTACTGTAATGCAACCAGGCACACGCGCAGCTTTCCGTTTCCTGGTACAGGACCCGTGCGGTTGGCTTTGGAACTGGGTAGGCTGTGGTATGTCTGGAAGATTCAAAGGTGGGACGGGGTGGGGAGGTTGGTAATGCATCTGTGTATTTAGGAACAGAGTGTTTATGTGTGTGTGTGAGTGTGAATGTCTTGCAGGGGAGGGGGAGATGCATGAGTGTCTGGCACGGGATACTTAACATATGTGTGCATCTGGAAATGCTTGAGAAGATCTAGATGTGGGAATCCGTGTCAGTTGGGTATGTGTGTCTGTGTCTGGAATTGGTGTGGGTTTTGAAGTGTGTGTGTCACTGTCTGTCTGTCTGTCTGTGAAGGTGTTTGTATATATTTCACGGACAGTATTTTAGGGATGTGGTGTGGAGGGGTGGGGAGTCTATGCCTTATTCCCCTTGAGCAGGCTGTCCCCACCAACTGACCACACCGTGACACTAGGTCAAGAAAGTGGTCCCACGTAATGCCCCTCCCGCAAAGCACTTTGATATGGCCTTGAGCTTCTCTTTGGATCTGCATCATGTCCCGTTTTATTCAGATCACTGATGGTGGTGGTGCGGCCTGGCATCACTGAGAAAAATGCATTTTGTTCGCGCACTGCCCAAACCAGTCTAAGTGCTCTTGGCGCTTACTGATTTTCGACTGGAGAGTTCAGCCCATGTTTAACTGCACCCCCCCCCCCCCGCTATCAGTGATAGCTCAATGTGCTTGGCTGGATCACATCCCCTTTAAATAGCCCCGCCCTGAGTATGTGTGCTTGGAGGTCAGACTCAGCCGACTGGGATTGATGTCTGATTATGCACACGAAGGACATCCGCCTTAATCTCATCATTCCAAAACCCTCCACACGATTTTTGATGGGGCTGCATCCCTCATAAGTTTAGGATTAGCCGTTCTTGGATCTTGGCCACCCCAGCTGGCTGGCACTCTCGGTGGTGAGATCCAAATCACCCACCCTTGACAGAGCATCAACAATTAATCGACACGAGAACCATGTTCATAAATGCGAAGAAAGGATATGCAAACGATTCAGAAGCTCCAGCTCCTCACCGTGACCTGTGCTAAGAGTTTCAGATCCAGGACTGATACAGCCCCCCCAAACCATCGATTTGCTCAACCTTTTGTTTTAACTGTGGAAATTGCACTAATTTCACCAAGATTTTTGTACTACTGCTGTGGAAACAGCCTCCAGACAGCCCCAGAATCTTCACCTTCTTGTATTCAGTATTTTTCCAGGAAGCATAAACACTGGAGTTTCCTTCTCCTGCTGCTTTGCAAAGACATGGGGCTACACTTAGGAAAGTTTATGCCTCCAGCGTTGCTTAGAATGGGTGCACTGCCTTTTCGGCTGTAAGGGCCAGCTGTGAGGTAGGCTTGGGGACCTGCACACTTGCAATCCAAGTTTGGCTCCCCACCCCCGGGGCCTTGATATGGGTTGCTCCTCTTGCTGGTGGTAGCAGGATAAGATGATTGGTGTATCTCCTGGGGGAGGAAATGGAATAGTGCAGCAACAGAGGAATTGGCAGCTACAGCAACAACCTTGGAGGGTCACAGGTTGTGCACCCCAATGCCAACTGTAAGAGGTGGAACTCGAATCTTTGGCCTTGGTCTGTGTCAGGTATATGTCTATCTTGGTGTGAAAACTTCTGGAGTTTTGCTGTATATTTATTTGCTCCATTGAATGTCCAATATCTAGGGAATGGCCATATCCACATGTCAATTCTGACAGTCCCAGGTGAGTGTCGAGATGGCTGGGAAATAGATGTAGATTTCTGCACATTTTGGACACAGGCAAATGCTGACAGTTACGTTTTGGTGACTGGCAACATTCGCTGCTGTTTCTCCAAGTTTCAGACATTCGTGGCATTGTCAAGATACTCATGTGGATATTGCTTAGTTTTGGACACTCATGCAGACGTCACATAGTGCATTGTAGTGAAGATCAACTTGTGTATTGCAGTTCTGACCTAATGTGCAATCAGATCATGTTACACATAGGTGCAATTCCAGGGCAGACCTCTGTGCCTTTTGAATGTACTGGGTTGTGCAGCCCAGAAGATGGTTCTGAGCTGGGAGACAGATTGGCACTGGTTTCACATGATTCACTTGCCCACGGGCAAGAAAATGGCAAGGTCTGTTTTGATATGGACTCAGTTTATGCATCCGGCAGAACAAGAAGTTCTGAAGGGGGGCGGCTGTACCAATTCAGTGGGAACACAGCTTGGAAGGCTTCCCTGCGTGACCTCGAGGGGCAGGCTGTGGGAGAGCCTTTCCCCCTTGTCATGCTGCTTTCCTCCCTGCAGCTTGTGGGGAACCATTTAATGATGGTCTCGCACACACACAGCACCCGCACCCTAAGTAGTGCAGTCCACCCGCCACTCTTCCCCAACCTGGTGTCCTCCTGAAACTTTGCACTGCAACTCACATATTCCTCCTGCTGGTTGGGGATGATGGGAGCTGTGGTCTGGCACAAAGTGGGGTGGGGTGTGAGGTTGGGAAGGCCGGCCGTGCGTGGCCGAGTGCCACGGGAACAGCTCCTGATGTTAATTGTCTCCCAGCGTCGGATATCCCAGGCAACAGTTTGAGAGTGTTGGAGTTGGAGATTGGCAGGGCGAGCGGCCCCCGGTCTCTGACGCTGGAAAGCTGCCTCTGCCACACGTGTCTGTCCGTGTGCGTACCTGTGTTTTTAAAGGGCAATGTTTCCTCCTTGCCTTCTGATCTGCTGCTCCTTTTTTCGGAGATGGATCGACCTCCCTTTCTTCCTGGACTCTTGTACTAAATGGCTTAAAACAAACCAATTAACAAATAAAGGCAAACTGGCACTTGGGCTTGTGTTCTCGCTGATTGCAAGGGGGTGATGGGATGGAACGGGATGCGCCACTCCATGTCGGTACAACTCAAGCCCATTGCCATCTAGTGACTAAACCAATGATTTAAAATGTTTATATACCGCCCTTCATTAAAACAATCCCAAGGCAGTTTACATAAATTAAAAAAACCAGTATCATCAATCCCAAAATTAAAAATTTCTCAGTGCCAGTACCTGATATAAAAATTAAAACACTATAATGACACTATCCACGCAGTTGATTTCTGAGCCAGGTGCAGGAGTAGTCTCACTTCAAGAGCATTAAGGGGGTAGTTAACAGCATTTAGCCACAGCTAAATTTCGTTGCTCCCTTCATCGTTAAGGTCAGATACTGGGAATTAGCTGAGGGATGGAATCCACTTGTTCATTGATAACTGATCTCTCCATCTGGTCTTCAAAACTCCATCTGCTGTTCCAGCAAGGTTAAGCTGTGGGTCCTTCATAGGGCAGCTATTTGCAGAGTGCCAAAAGAGGGGAAACGTATTGTCCCCCCCCCCCACAAAGGCAACCATGTGCATAAATGACACTCAGCATGTGCTCATTTACGGTTACAGATTCAGAATCAGAGATAGTGAACTTTAAAGGGCGATCCAGGAATGTACTGTAGTTGGACATCTATGAGCAGGTCACCTGTGTGCCTCCTTGCCCAGCCTGCTGTCCAGGTGCTCACAGTAGCAGGGCAACCTCAGGATCTCTGGTCTCCTTATACTTCCGGATCTTTAAACTGGACGTGGACTGAGCAGTCTTTCAAATAAAGAATGCCTTCCAGGTGAGGACCGTCCATGGTCAGCCCTTCAAAGGGGGACTGTTCTCTTTGGAGAAGGACACGTGGCCACCACAATCCTCAACTAAAGACCAGATCCCATGGATGGGAGTGAAGTGATGGCTGGGAAAGGACAGGAAGCACAGGAGAAGGGGGAAGGTATGCTAACTGCATCCTACAGCTTTCTCATGGACAGCTTCCACCATGAGGGGTGGGGGTGTTTATGAGCTACTCTGCCCTCTTTTATTTGGGATATTTCTAACCTGTCCATTCACTATGTGTCTCTGGATGGCTTACAAACAAAGTGTTCTCTTTCTAAAGAACACCTGCTATTTTTCCAGAGGCACCCAAATACTTCCTCTCTGGGCAGTTTTCTAGGTTGGGAGTGAACATCTTTACAAAGGCAACTAGCTAGTTATATATAGACGATGCTTTTTATAGCCTCTTCACTTATTCACCATGTGAGTCATTTTTAAATTTATTATTAACTTAGCTTTTCCTGTTCCTGTTTGTGCCACGCATTTTGTGCAGGGCTACCTGCCCCGTTTGCAAGGAAGCCAAACCTCACTCGTGGAGGCCTCCCTGCAACCCTCTGATGGCCAAGCTGTCCTCCTTTCACAGCTGAATTCTGCCCTTCCTTGTCAACCACTCTCTCGCCCACCTGTTGGGCAGCCGTTTGGCAGATCAGCTGGGCTACTCTTGAGCAGCAGAGGAAAGAGTGCCAGCCTGGGTCACTGCAAGAGGCATCCGCCCCAGCAAAACTGTGCTTCTGCCACCCCGCCAGTGGAGTGTGGGGCAGTTTGTCCAGAGCATTAGCCAGAAACATATTTTCAGTGACTGTGTGACCGTGTGTATGTGTCTGAGGATGTAAGAGGTGATGTGGGACAGTCCTTCAACCTCTCACTAGCTCAGGCCACAGGGACTGGCGTGCGGCTGCTGGTCTTTGGGACAGAAAGATTACCTACCCCTGCCTGATAACAATGCTCTGTTAACCTGACTACCTGCAAGGTAGGTTAATGCCTGTTCCAAGGAGATCCAGCGGGCTCTGTGGGTGGAGCAAGTCCTGTGGTTCTAATCTGAGGTGTCCAATTATTGGGGAAAATGTAGTTGCAGCCTGCATTGTAGCTCCTGCGTTGAGTAAGGGGTTGGATTAAGTGGTTATGCAGGATTCTGAGATCCTGTGACACCACACTGGTTCTCCAGACTTCTACTGGCCTGCCCCAAGCGTTATCTTGTTAAACTGTTATGCAGGGACGGTGGAAGCGGCTGGCTTGGTTTTGCTGGATGACTTGGCAAAGCAGCATACCTGGTCTTGAGAAGGAAGCTGGGAGAATTTCATTTTCATTCACAAAACATGCAAGTGTGCCCCTACCAAATATTCACTGATTGTCACATACGTCGTCAGCTCAGTTCAATTTGTGTGCATTTCCTAGTTCGTGGAAAATCTCCACAAGATCGAATCAGCCTCACTGCTGTTTATGGGGGAAATTTGCTCAACTGCACAAATTTGCACAAATTTCCCATTCGTGCAAAGTGAGCGGCAGTTGCAAGCACAAAAAGAATTGGAATGATGTTCAGAGAATCCTAGTGATCTCAGCTATTGCTTGTTTACCCGTAAATGTAAATCTATTTGTTTTAGATTTGCTTTCTTCTTCTTAAGCAGGAAAGGGCTTTTGCATTTGGAGGATCTTAGTTCTAGAAATTAAGACTCTTGAAAAGACGAACTGACAAGCCTTGACTCGGCATTCTGCATGTACTAGCAGCACGTGTGGATGTGTTTATCTAAGATGCTCAGGACAGCATGCCTCTGCCTTCCCCAGCCAGGTGCCCTCCAGATGTTTTGGATGTCAGCTCTCATTATCCCCTGCCAGCATCACTAATGGCCAATGGCCATGAAGAGTGGGCATTCTCCAAAACATCTGTAAAGCGCCAGGTTAACAAAGACCAGCTTAGATTTTCCCCTCATTTTATCTCCATTGTAAGCATGTGAGACAGGGAAGGCTGAGGGATGGTGCCTTGCCCTGGAACATGCTGGAAGGTCCATGCCTGGGATGCACAGCAGCTCTGATAGCCAATGAAATGAGACTGGATCCATAGGATGGACACTTTGTACACCTGGGCAGGACGCCCTTTCCTTGGCCAGGAAGCATCCTAAGAAAGTCCAGTAGGGCAGGAATTTGGGAAGAGGCAGCTAAGCGAGTCATGCCTCTTCCCCCTGAAGAAGGCAGCTTTTTCAGACACGGAGCGGAGGGCAAATGGGGAAGAGTCAGACTCTGATGCCCCTCATCTACCACCCAGACTGTCTTGGTCCTCACAGTGCTGGCCTGTTCTATTTGATCTGGGAGAAGGTGGAACTTGGCTAGTTCCAGTTTGTACTGGATCCCCGTTTACTTTATTTTCAAAGAATCCAAACCCCGTGGCCAGTGCCAGTTTGTCAAGGGGCTCATCAGGACACTCGGAATGTGTGCGTCAGGTCATTTGCTATGCTGGGAGAGCCAGCAATGTGCACAGACCGGAAAAACCTGCTAAGCATACAGTTAACCAGGCCCTCAAACCTCGGCATGGGTCCCAGAAGGAGTGTAAACAGGCCACCTGGATTCTGGGCTGAAGTCATGAGGGGAAAGGTGGGAAGGAGAGGGAGAAGCCTGACATTGCTCTTGGTGTACATTGGCATGAGAGCCAGTGTGTCTAGTGGTTAGAGCGCTGCACTGGGACCATGCGAGTGGCTTTGGGCTCCTCACCAGAGGAAAAAAGGAGGGGTAGAAAAGCAATAACAAATACGATCAGGAATGCAGAATTCCATCTTCTGCTCCCTCACACTGGAATGTCAATATGCATGTTTTCTCTACAAGCAGGGACAGTCTGATTAGTCATCTGAGATCTCTTCCAGTAGGTAAAGGTTGCAGACATCCAGGTCGAGCATTTGTGGCCCTCCAAGTATTTTGGCAAGCAAATCTGGTCTTCGCAAGGCTGACTGGACCAGAGGGGAGTTGGAGGGTCATATTCTCACACAACAACCCTTTGAGGTAGATCAGCTGAGAGAGAGAATGATTGTTTCATGGTTGAGTAGGATCTGAATGTTGACAGATCTTGGTGCAAAAGATTTCAATTGAGTATATCCCATGAGGGGCAGTGCTGGATACTGAAAGGATCCGGAGCTCAGGCACACAGACCTCCCCCCAACTTGAATATGCTGATTTATACAAAGTCTCTCTGTGTACATGCACCTTTTAAAGACTCTGTATTGTAAAGGCATCCTTATTTGTGAAAAAGATGCAGGGGCAGCAGAGAGGAGGGCCTCTGAATTCAGAAAGACGCAAAGTTCAGGACAGTGGCAAAGGCAGCTGTTTTGGTCCACATGCCAGCTGCTCCGGGGGAAATCAGACTCAACAGAGGTTGTCAGGATCCCCGTGCTTTATTTCAGCAAGTCCCCCTGGACTGCAGAGCGGCAGGGCCGTGGTCTCCCAGAGATTTGGGGCTCCAATATTAGTGGGCCAGCCCCAGAGACCACCTCTGCTGCCCATCCCTATGGATGGCCTTCCACATAATTGCAGCACAGTGGTAAACAAGCCAAGGTAAGTTTTACCTCCCGAAGCAAGAGAAAGAGAACACAGATGGAATAAGCAACAGAGACCCTGAGAAAAGCACACGCACAGGTGCTTGCCATGTGTTTCTACGAGTCTTTATTGTGGATCTTAAAAAGAGCAGAGCTGGTGCTTGGTGGAATTCTTCCTCGGGAGACTTGTGCATCAGGTGGCAGCAGAGTTCGGGGCAGCCGGAAGAACAGCAGCTGCAGGTGAGCTGAGCAAGCGGTCCAGCCATGGAGCTGGGACCGGTTCTAGTGCAGTGGGACACCCGTGGAGGTTTCCTTGAGCTGACGGACAGGGGCGCTGCCACTTGCCTAGAGCGGGAGGGGGAGGACCCCTTCTCCCACCCCATGGGCCAGTCCAACATGAGCCCCTAGGCTCCCTCACATGGTGGTGTAGTGGTAGATTGCCAGAAGAACCACGGGGCACTGTGGAAGAGAGGTCCCCATCAACCATTCCGTTTTCATGACCCTTCCTGGAGAAGCTCAGAGTCGCCATCCGATTTCCTCTGATTTACCCCAAGAACCCCAGCAGGGGTGACTTCCCAAGGGGATGCGAGCAGTGTGTGGGAGGGCAGGCCTACCAACGGTTATAGGCCAGGATGGCTTCATGCCCCTTCGTGGGTTCCCCACGGCAGCTCTGGACCCCAGCTGCTGGCTATCAACAGTCCTGCTTAGGCGCCTGGTTGACCGCTGTGGAAAACAGCCTGCTAGCCAGGGTGGACTGTCATTCTCATGCATGGCCCTGTGAGGCAGGCTGGGCCAAGAGGATATGACCGCTGTGCCGTTGTGTGTCACCAAGTGATCTCTGGCTTATGGCAGCCCTGTGGATGCCCTGTCCTTGACAGCCCTGCTCAGCTCTTGAAAAAATATGAGGTACCACTAAATAACTTGAGATGCTGGACTTACTGATCTAGAGAGTGGGAAGCCATACTTCAGTTGTCAAACACCGAAATAACATTCCTCTCCCTTCCCCTCCCTCTTTGTATGTTAGCTTAAAGCTGCAGGAATAAAAGTTTTATGCTGCTCTGATGCATCTTCCTGGGGATGAGCATCGTTTTGTGTTGGCAAGGCATCCTACAGGGGCTACCAAGGTTAGTCCCATGGAAGTCCCATTTATTTCCACATCTGTACTCTATCCTGCTGGAGTAAGATCGGCTACCACCCCATAAAAATCATAGAATATGTTCTTTGTAACTGTTCACAGCTGTAACTGTGAACAGGCCCAGTCAGCTGCTCCATTAGCCTAAAGTGTTCCAATATGGGAAGAAAGGATGCCATGGCGCATGCCCTCAGCCCTGCTGGGCCACATGCACCTGCTGGGGTGGGTGCTGCCACCCCCTGCGTGCCAATTCCCCGCCACTCGCTGCCCTCTAGAAGCCCCAGAGCTTGGCCCCAGGACAAGCCCCGCCTGCCCCCCTGCGCTGGAGCCACGGCGACACTGCCTTGGCTCCCTGAGGCATCTTCGCCTTCCTCTGGCCCGAGCGAGCCCTGCACCCGGGACTCACCGTGAGCATAAGGATAGCGAAGCCGAACCAGGAGACACCCCAGGCGTAGCTCTGAACCGCGTGCTTGATGTGCTCAAAGCACCCCTGCGGAAAAAAGGAAGAAGGGGCATGGGGTGGCCTTCTGGAAGAGGCGGTCCTGGAGTGGCCGCCTTTGTACCCGCAAGGCTCCAGGCAGGGGACTGCAGAGGGCTCTTCCTCCGGCAGACTGGGCGTTCTTTTCTCCAGTGGAGAGAGCCCAAGCTCTTTTTGCGAAGACGCCCGAGAAGGGCCCGTAGCCTGTGGGAAGAGGTGGGGAAGCCCATACGTTCGTGTAGATGTAGTCCACGTGCCCCAGCCGGCAGCCCTCCTCATTGATGATGATGAAGTTACGGTCGCGCTTGCAGCAGTAGTAGGGCCAGGGAGCCACCGCTTCAGGATACCTGCTTCGAAAGACCGAGGTGTAGTTCACCCAGTCCAAAGGATTGTTGGTGCCGCAGCAGTGTTGCTGAAGGCAGAGAAAGGGAGGGGGGATGGGAAGAGCTCATGTCACGAGGACCATCTCTGTGGCAGACTTCTCGACTTGGGGCTAGGCTCGCTTCCTCCCCGGGCGGCTTGTTCAGGGTGGCCAGGTATGGTGCTGGCACATGTGAGGCATGCACAGAAGGCTGCAGATTGCATCCTGCGGGGTTTCAGGCCAAGGAATCAGCTGGGAGGCGACAGGACAGTCCTTCTCGACCAGGGACCCCGAAAGCCACTGCTTGCCTCCAGTGTGGTACCAGACACACCTCTGTTGGAGCCCCTCCTGATTGTTATTTTTTAAGATTGAGAGGCTGGTGTGCTGCAAAGTGTAGGGCTGCCCCCCAGAATCATCTTCATCTGGGTTCAAAAGAGTCATTTTGTGTTTGGAGCTCAGACCTCTCCCTCCATCTCTGTCTCGGTCTTTGGTTCACGAGCTGCTCACTATTCTTTTGGTCTCATCTGCTTGCCTGCTGTGAAATCATGTTTTGTATCTATCCTCATTCACTATGACAGCCAGTTTGAGAACAGGCAAGAAGTTATACTTGAGGTGTCTCCTAGCACAGGATGCAGGGTGGCCACCAACCTGGATGGTTCCAAAAGGGGAACAGCTGACTTCGTGGCCGACAGGGCATCCGTGGCTGCTGGTGGGGATGGCCCTGGGCTACCCCACATATCAGAGGCTGAGCGGAGCGTAAGCAAGAGGATGCCCCTGCACTAGGCCCTGGTGCTTCCCGGGAGGATGCGGCGGAAAGGCTGCACCGGGCAGGATCGTCCCAGGCAGTTCTGCGCCACCTAAGGAGTTTCACTACCTCCATCATGAAGCGATCCCACATCCGAGTGAGCTCCTTGCCCTGGTATGTGTCCGCGGAGTAGAAGGTCAGCATCTGCTTGGTTATTAACCTGGAATTTGAAACCACCTGTGGCAGGGAAGGGAGAGAAAAAGCTGGTTGGTGACAATCCCCACCATCCACATCTTTGCACGGTGATTCTGCTTCTAGGGAACTGGGCTGTGTACATGAACACAAGCTAGTTTTTGCACAATTTATTCCAAGCACAGATTTTCTTTTTTTTTGAATGTGAAGAATGACAGTTCTGCTTTCCATGAAAGTCAAGGCATTCAGCCGGGGGGGCGGGGGGCAGGAACACATGTGTGTGTGCACGTGTGTGCTGGGGAGACTAAAGTATTTCTAAGTTTATACAGTTTCTCCTGAATGAGACAAACTGAACTGCTGAAGTAGTTCCATTTTTGATGCTTTCAAAGCCTCCTCATTATTGGCTTGGGACCTGGGAATTCACAGGCCCATTTCTTCCATATATGGCTTTCTGCATGCTCTGTTCAGCATCCAAGACCTTTCCCCCAGATTCTCCAGCCAACTGAGGTGCAAAGGAGAATTAGGAAGTACAGGGTCTTCTCAGAGGTGGTCTCTATTTTGTACAAAGCAGTCCCATATAAGATATGTCACGGCCCAGCACTGCTTGGTTTTGGTTTCTGGAATAAAACAAAGTGGTGTTGACAGAATGCTTTCCTGTTGTGGGAGCCTGTGTGAGCTTGTGTGTGAGCACATTATACCAATGCAATTCCTTTGGAATGCCATTTTAAATCTGCCTGTTTTACCATTTACCCCAGTTTTTAGCTTGCTCTGTTAATGCCGTTCCAGGTGGATTGTTGCTTATGCGGGCTGATGCATTTATTTTGCATTATTTTTGTTAATGTAAGTCAGCTTTAATTTATTCTGAAGTTTGGTGGCATATGCATTTTAATAAATATGCAGCCCAAATAGTTGTTGCTTTAAGTGAAGCAGCCTTTGCTCTTCAGAGAAACAATTAGAGAGGAGTACAATCCTGAAAGATCAGCTTAACTGGGGCACATAAAAATTAATTCCTACTTGTTCATCTTTGCCATGTCATGCCTGAACCACCACCATGCAAAAGCTCTGGAATCTGCAGCTGAATTTGAAGAGCCTGATGGCTGGACATCAGAATGACTGCACATAACCATTCAGGTCTTTCCGAGGTCCAGTCCAGTTTTGATTACTATTACTCCACTGCCGTAGGTGCCTGTCTGAAACTTTCAGCCACATGGGGGAAAAAAACCGGAATTACTAAGTTCTCGCAAGCCCTGCAGGGACATTGTAACCCAGGTTCACAGCCAGCCAGGAAAATGACCAGGTCACCACGTGGCTAGTGGTGTCATGAGAAGCTGTGAAGAGCTATCTCACGGAAGGTGTTTTGCAGCTCCCTGGGACTATGCCAAGAAGGAACAAACAGCAGAGGCAAACCAACGAGGCAGAAACCAGATGAAACGCACTGCCCTAAATCCCAAAGGCCCCGAGTAAGCTAGTGATGCCCCTCCAGCTGAACAGATTCATGGTCAAACAGTTAGGAAGAGTTCCGTTCCCACCCCTGCACTTACATAATCACGATGTGTGTAGGAGGTGATGCAGGAGGCACACTCGAACATGTAGACGACCAAGATGAGCACCAGGTACTGTGGGGTAAGGAAAGCAGATGGTGTGATTCCAACGGCTACGGCTGCAGCGGGGCAGACGGAAGGGGAAGGCTACAGACCAATTAGCACTGCAGAACTGGGGGGCAGGTGGAAAACTTGCAGATTGAGCAGCGAGGCACTTTTCGGAGGAAGAGAAAGTGCATCGAAGCCGAACATTGGCTCACCCACGTGTGCAGGATAATAAGGCCAAAACAGCTGGGTACAGAGAAGGTCCCTTCTTGCCCCGGCACGACTCACCAAAAGCACCATTAGGCGGTTGCCACGCACGAGGCTGATGATGCCAAAAACGCAGACACAGAAGAAGGAAAAGCCGGTGAAAATGGAGATCCAGGCGCCTGCGTAGACGTCGTCTTTGCCTGACACCCCCATGATCGGGTACACTTTATATGGGTCGGCCGTTACCCAGACAGATTCGGCGTAGAGTGCCAGCCCGGAGAGCTGCAGGATAACAGAAAGGTTGTTACCGAGGACACTCGCCTGTGGCCAGACTCTTGTTCCTCTGCTGCCTACGCCAGCCCAAAGCCCTAAACCCCAACAGGCACTGGCCTGCCAAGAGCCAATTATGCTGAGACCTGCTGCGATGGAATCCTTCCCAAGCAGGGGTGTCCACCCTTCAGGCCATGGGCCCCATATGGCCCTCCTTGGGTCCCGATCTGGCCAACAGGGCCTCCTCAGGTGGCTCTGCCCCCTTTGCTAGCCACACCCCCTTCCCCCACTGCTGCGGACGGGGTCAGCCTGGCTATTGTGTGCCCTCCGTCCCCCCGTTCTGAGTGCTTGAAAAACTTTTGTGGCTGCCAGCTTCAGAGGCATTTTGGTGGAGATCCAAGAGAGGCCTATTTAGTGGGTGCTCCCAGGCGCTGCAACTCCCTTGCAAGGCTGGCCATATTTGCCTCCCTTCTGCCTGCAGGCAAAACTGCTGGGTTTAAGAAGGCCTTCAGCCTGTGACGGACTCTGTCGGATTGCATGCTGCTTTTGATTTTCGCACTGCTACATTTTATTGTGTTTAAATTAGATGTACATGAGTCTGTAAATTGCCTTGAGGGCCATTTTTGGTGGAAAGATGGAATACAAATAAAGTCAATAATAATTATATAAATATTCTGGGGAGCGCTTAAAATGTTTTGGCTCCTCCTGTTTCACTGCTTCCATCTTGCCTTGACCTCCCCCCCCACTACATCAGCATGCACCTCTCAAGAGCATCTTCAAAATACACTAGTAATACCTTTATATTGCACCTGTTCTCTTTTATCCTGGAGCCCAAAGTGGCTCACATGGTCCTTCTCTCCATTTTCTCCGCACAGCAACAGCCCTGTGAGGTAGGCTTGGCTGAGAGTCAGGGACTGGCCTAAAGTCACACAGTGGATTATCATGGCTGAGGGGTGACCCAAACCTGGAAATCCCTGGTCCTGCTCCAACACTGTAACCACCACACCACGGGCTCCTCCTTATAAAAAGAGGCCACAGACCGAATCTGGGACCTTCTGCATACCATGCAAGTGTTCTGCAGCTAAGTCACACACCCTCTCCTTATACCAGGTCAGCTCCTCCTTATTACATAGGATTCTTGGCCAGACTTCCAATGTTTCCCCTCCACTGACGGATTGTGTGACTCCCGCACTCTCACCATGATAATTACGTTGCCCATCACCAGCAGCCCCACAACAAAAGGCGACCCCTTTTCTGCCATGCTTCTCGGTCAGAGCTCTCTGTACCAGATGCCCAGATTCTGCAGAAGGGGAAAAAGAAGAGAATACAAGGAAAGGGAATAAGGAGAGAATTGATCAAGGCAGAGGTCTCCCATCGGCTGAGGATGACTTGGATCATGGATCTCCTCCACTGACGAAGACATCTGTGCCAGCTGGCTTGGTTAAATTTTGTCATTACTTGCCATCAAGTCTTTCTTCGGCTTATGGCAACCATATGAGTTAATGGCCTCCAGAATATCCCCCCACCCCTCGCAACAGCCCTGCTCAGCTCTTGTCAACTCCAATGAGTCTTGCCTTCACATGATGTACCTGAAGTACAACAGCTTCAGTCATGTCCTCTGCTTTCAGGGAAAGCTTTGGCTGGATTTGATCTAAGACTCACTTGCTAAGATAAACCAGTAAGCCTCACTCCAGGGGCAACTTTGTATGGATAGATCATGTGGCATTTGACAGAAGGGTCTTTTTGGTTCTGGCCCTTCTGTTATGAAATAGTCTTCTCTAGGAGCCACACAGGTAGACTTTTAAGTAGTTGAGAAAGCTTTTAGGTCGAAACCTTCTGCTTTTACAAGTTGTTAATTCTTGTGTTCTGTTTCTAGAAATGAATCACAGTATTTGTTTCTTTCTTTATTTTGGGCATTTCTATCCTGTCCTATACAAAAAGTTTCAGGATGGTGAATTGTTCCGCTATTCTCTATACAAAAAGCAGGTAAGTTAAATCTGTACTTCTAAAAGTGTCTCTTGTGGTATATCATTGAGCCAACAGGTTCATACTCTTGAATAATGCAAGTATTGAATTAGTTCACACAATTCCTGAAAGGCAGAAAGGGCCAGTGTGTGTACCTACTGGTGTTGTAACAATATTTTTTACACTCTTTGAAATAACTCTGCATCCTTTTCCAAATACTTGTAAGCTATTTACAATAGTGGGGAAATTACATGCTTCATGCAACCCACCCGACTGATGCTTTTGTAAGGAGGAGCAGCAGCTCTGGAGAAGGCAGCATTCAGAACAGGGAACTGGTGGCAGAACTTGTTTAACCATTTCACTGCTCACAGCTCAGTGAGGTTCTCAATGCCTGTTCAAAATAGGTGAGAAAGCTTCAAAGAACCAACATAATTTTGACTGCCAGTTGACCATGTCATTCTTGTTGCTTTGCTTTTTAAAAAATCCATCCACATGACAAATATGAGTTTCCGAGACTTAAGGAAGGACCAGGAGTTGGTGCAGTTGGAGGTAACTTCTGGATTGGACAATGTATGGATGGAAGCAACCAACATCCATCCCCAGGACCATCAAGGATAGAGGAAATGTGGGAGTCACTGACTGGAATCTCTGCCTTTCTCTCTGACTGGGGAGTGCCTGTTCTCAGTCATTAATTCTTGCCCGGTTGGTTCAATGATGCACAGGTCTAACTTGTTCCTCTGGGCACACCTACAGGTCAGCATTGCGGAGATTCCTTGAGGGTCCACATTGCACCATCCAGGGTCGCTTTCCAGGGAGCACAAAAAAGGAAGTGGACAGGCCAGTGTGCACCCTATAATACAAACCTGTCCACCAGGTATACATTGCCACTCCCTAGTTTTGCTTATGGAATGGCACAGGTGTGAAAATCAACTATCCATCCATGGAGGAGACGCTGCAGTCCTTGACAGATTGCTCCTCCAGGGTCAGTCAAAACAGGGCTTGTAGTCCAACTTGTTGTGGTCATTGTAAGCACAACAATTGATTTAACAGTTGCGGTTTGTTTCCATTTCATGGATGGGTCTCACTTACCTTGTTTTTATGGTATGTATGCACGTATGGTTGCTATTTTGCATCTTAGGTTGTATTTTATTCCTTTTAGTCACCTTGGGCTCCATTTCATGGAAAAGCAGGATTCAGATTTAACCAGTGTAATAACTGAGTGAACACCTAACTCCGTTGAAGCAGGGCCTCCCTGGAATACTTCACTGCCTCAAGCGGCAAAGGATTCCCTCCCTCCTTTCTGAAGCTGAGTAGACGGGCAGTTGACTGTAGCTTCAGCACTGGACTTCCCAAAGGCTCAGAGACGCAGGCTGGCCTGCACAGCACATGCAGCTTCATCCTCCGAACCTCACGGCTTCCTCCTGAGGAGGATGGCACTGCCCCATAGAGAGCTGGCCCAAGACATGCAAGCGGGCACGATGGGGCCCTCCAGTCCACCTGCAGAAGCCAGCGGGACTGGCAGTGGACCCTGAATTCCATGCAACAGGGGCAGTGGGATGGCAAACCGGAGGGCAGGAGGCAGAGGGTACGACACTCCAAAGTCCACCCTCCAGTCCCTCACTGGCTCTTTTTGCCCCCCCAGGATCTGTAGCCTGACACGGCCATCTTACTCTGGCCAGTGGCAGGGCTGGCTCTGCAAAGAGCATAGAAAAAGACCACCAATTTAAAAGAACGAGATACTCCAAAAGAAATAAAACACAGCGTCTAGAGCAGGTGCAGTACAAGGAGTGGGACAGGTCGTGGTGGTAAAACAAAAGCCGGGCCTTGTCTGTTGGGAAGAGGCCTATAGGACCAGTCCCAACATTTGGCAGGGGGTCCAGTCACCAGGGAAGGCAGAGACGCTGCTGAGTGAGGACCAGGGAGTTTGGGGCATGCCACGCAGCTTGCCTCGTGCCCCAAGGTCAGCCAGCTGCCCTCAGTGGGTGGGGTGGGCAAGGAGGCCGCCCGTCACCCCTGTGGAAATAAGAGCCATCTGCCCACCTGGGCAGCTTCTGTCCTTCCCCTGGGCCAGCAGGATCTTGAAGAGCTGAATGCACGGCTTCTTTCAAGTGGTGAATAGGAAAGGACTGGTTGGAGGGCCTCTTTTACCTTCTGTGGAGCAGGAAAGGTGCGATCCTACGCATCTACGGGGAGAATAAAGTCCCAGGACTGCTAGCATTTCCCAATCTGCACAGCTGTGCTCCACGGTGCTGTGATTTTTCTCACTCATAGACCAATTTCCATTGAATTGGTCTGCAAAACTACAAAAAATTAACTACAAGACTACAAAAATTAACTAGTAATTTGGTTGAAGGTGTTAATGGAATGAGTCTGGTTATCCGACTGTATCCCAAGGCTGGATTCAGGAACAGGGAGGAGAACTGGGTATTTAGGGCAGGAACCATCCCAGGAATGGTTTAACACAGGGAAGGATGCAGATTCTCTGACTCCCTGAAACTGCAGAGCATTGCCAGAACACCTGTGGTCTACCTTGCTTTATATTCCACTTTCTTCACAAAGTGTCTAGGAAAGTTAGCAGCCTATAGGACACAGAATGCTCTGTAAAAGTGCCTTAAAAATCAGGAGTCTAAAGTCAGAAATATATATTCAAATCTAATGAAACGCCAGTCCAACTTAGAGCAGATCCATTTATATGAATGAAGCTGAAGTTGCTTCCTCCCACCTTAAGTCACTTACATCCCACCTGTTTCAATGCATCTTCTCTACATAGTGATTACTGGACAACACTCAAGGGCTTCTAGGACAGAAGTGAGCCTGGATGGACCCTGCTGGACCATACCATCCTGCTGGACCGTACCATCCTGCTCCCCTCTGTAGCAACGGTCTCCCAATCCCTTACATGACATCGGAATCCATCCATGCATTTGCTTAAGTTAGAGTGGTTGCTTCACATTACTCCAAACAGCCATCACCAGCGAGCGAGCGAGCGAGCGACACGTTTTCGCATTCAATTTACATGTGCTAATTTACCACTGTGCATTTAGAAATAAGTGCTACAATTTAAATACATTGCAAATCTCAGCCTAGCTAGGCGTTCTGGCTGCTTGTTCTGACTGCTCGCTGGTGGTGTGCAAGGCTGGGCTCTCCCTTCGTAGGTTCTTCCTTCCCACTTTGTTTCATCAGAATTGGACTGGACAGCACCGGCCCTTCAAAGAGAGGACCGACCTATGTAAAGTTGGCCAATACTGCCACACTTGTTTTAAATCCACCTAAGCCAGCAGCCATGACCACAGTTTAATGGCAGCAACATTTTCAATAGCCAAGCCACGGATTTCATCAAGTGAGCCTTCCCCAGGAACCCCAGTTGACCATTCCAGCCACGTATCATCCAACTATCTTTTAAATAAGAGAAGGGCAAAGGACTGACAAGAAAAATTAAATGCAGTTTAAGACACACAAACGAAATAACAACAGACACACAAAGCCAAAAATGCTTTCAGGTCCTGCTGACAATTAACAACCAAAAACAAGCTCAGCAATAGCAGAATGATTTTTTTTTTTTTTTTTGTTTTCAGGAAAGAGAGAGTCAGTTTTCTGGATGCATTCAGCTTCTTGCTAGAAACCTGCAGCCTCAAACTCAAAGTTTCAGTTGCTATTTGACCTTCCATCCATCTTTCGAGGCTGCAGCCATCTCTTACTGTTGTCCAGCTATAATGAAGTAACAGCAAGAGAGATTTTAATTGGAAGAACCGCACTAGGAAAAGAATTGAACCATCCCCTACCCTCGCAGGCCGTTCTTCTGGTTTGCATGTGCCTAATTGCGCCTGCCATTCCCTATAAACATGACAAAGAGAGCGGAGAATAGGCATATTGGGCTACATTCTTGGAATCGCAACCTTTTGGAATGGGGTGGGGGCGTGTGCGTTTTGTTTTCGAGAATGCAACAGAGTTAGCTAACCCTCCAAAGCAGAGTTGACCAGGTGACCCAACCTGCTGATGAGATGAGCCAACCTGGTTGGTCTTGTGCCTTTAACAGCAGAAAAATCAGCAGGCGAGACTGCTTCATAGTAAAAAAAATAGAATAAAAAATAAATCAGCAAGTGACATTTTGCACAGAATAGAAACTAATATTATGGCCTGGTAATATCACCACCTGGTAACAGAACTGAAGTTCAAGCTGCTATTAAAAGCATAGCTACACTTTGCTTACAACCCAACAACCTTCCCTCAGCTGGAGCGTGGGGTCCAACTCCCACATTCCTTCAAAGGCTTTTTATGTGAGCAACACTCTACTGT